TAGGCCGATACATATCTTCCAGTCGACTGAAAAGGCGTCTGTCAAGATAACTCCAGTACTCCCGAAGGGCAGCTAGATCATAGTTGTGAACATACTGCAGAAGCTGGTCCACTATCTTGTCCACCTAATTAGAAACCCACCAAAGTAAGTTATGTAACCAATAACTTCAGCCATCAAGAAAAATCACAGCAATAATTAGAGGGTACAATTATCTGTCACAGGATAAAGGAGAGAAGGAAAAAATCAAAATCATGTATCTTGACCATGATTTTCCATGCAAATGCTTGCCTCCTTTATAGAAACAAGATTCAAATATATATATAATTAAAGTACATTTGACAGGATTTAATAGTCCACGGAAGGACAATAATCCATATTAAAGGGGAAGTATAGTAGTACATGTGGGGCTGTCTCTGTTACCCAATTTCACGTGGGCAATTTTTCCCGATTTCCCTACTTCCTCTCCAAAAATATCGAGGGTCTGACAGTTAGCCTGGCTAAGGACAAAATTTTATGAAACACATGTGCAACATTAAATAAATGGTTAATGGAGACTAACATCCCTTGGTTAGCTTCTTTCTATTTAAGTTTTTGATGATTCCTATCCAATATATTAGCCTACTCAAAAACCAAGACAATTGTCCTGAGAATCTACAATAAAGATTACTTCCAATTTCTTTGTTCCAGGATGAAATATAACCATGCAGTAGTATAAACAATGCAACTGAAAAGATGTCTCTCCAATTCCAAATGAAGCAAATATTTGAGGTAACAAGATACAATGGGAACATATCTGGGGTCCAGGATGCAGTTCTTAAAATGTTTGAAGAACTCCTAGCAATCTGAAATCTTTATAGCAATAGACCTGAGAGTCACATAGCATTTGCCTAATTGTTTTAACTTTGAAAAAATCAATGGCAAATGGCAAGTAACTGGTACAGGTATTAAGTACAGGTAGGGAAGCTTAGAATAGTTCTGGAATGACTTTGGTTACTAACTGGAACAATCCTTATTTGCTCCCTTCAAACACTGAAAAGTACCTCTAAATTCCACCTATCTTTAACTCTATTATTGAGAAGACCATAACTTTTGTTTTGGTATACAGGTAGTCTTTGACTTACAACCATTCGTTTAATGGCCACTTAAAGTTACAACAACACTGAAAATGGTGGCTTACGACAAGCTGTTTGTCTTACAACTGCAGCAGCATCCCATGATCATGGTCACATGATCAAAATTCAAGTGCTTGGCAACCAGTATGTATTTATAACATTTGCACAATCCCAGGGTCACATGATCACCATTTGAGACTTTCCCAGCTGGCTCCCAATAAGCAATGTCAATAGGTGAAGCTGGAGTCACTTAATGGCCACGTGATTTGCTTGACAACCATAGGAAAAAAGGTTGTAAAACTGGATGCACTTAACTATTGCCTTGCTTGGCAATGGAAATTTTGGTTCTAATTGTTATTGTAAGTCAAACACTATCTGTAATTTATAGCCAATTTTTCTTCTTTATAATCCTCTGTCTCAAATCAATTTCAGCTATAAAGGGAATTCAGGTTACTGGCCTGTGAATAGAGTAATATACAGGTATTGTCTGCTAAAACCAACAGAAATAGGAAAGAATAGGTCATTTCAAAAGGAACTTGAAACAGAACATATAAAGAAAAACAAGGGAATATAGAAACATTTATTATAATATGTACAGTAACTTTCCAAACAAGAGTTGCATCTAGCCTTTAAATGTTGGGTCAAGATGCTGCAATCCAAATTATTAGTTAGTAGGATCAGGAGAAAAATATTTTATTTCATTTACTTTTGCCATTCTAGATTACTTTATGTTTCATAAATTTCCCCTTCTACCATATTTTAAAAATTACAATTTGGTAACAAGTGTTCTGCATATTGATGAAGAGCTGGCTGGGACAATAAGGTCGGAGTCCAGGAATTGAAGAGACCAATAGGTACGTACAGTTATGAGTTGGGTGTATGGTTTTTCTTAATTTTATTTTATTATTTCATTCTTTTTTCTCATATTGGTTTTATTGTTTGTATTTTTAGTCATTGTTGTTAACCAACCAGAGTTGTGGGCCACAAGGTAGATAGCTATACAGAGCTTTTAAACAAAATAATTTTAAAATATCTATCATGACTGCACCCTGGCTTTAAAAGCCTTTATTTCAGAAATTACATGGATTCCTTGAGGCTCCCGATTATGTATCTCTGTCCGATGAACTATTAAATCGACTTAATAGCTGTTAAAACTTTTTTATATGAGATATGTGCTAATTGTTTTATTTTGCATGAGATATGTGCTAATTGTTTTATTTTGATTGATAATCTATTGGGCAGATTCAATAATGGAAAAATATGTTTTATATATAAGGGAAATGTCAGCATCTAAACCTAAACTAGATGCCGGAGCGATAATCCACGATGCCTGTGGACTATCGCAGTCACTGACTCAGTTTTGAAAGGGATGCACTCTACACATGCTCTTCGTCTCCCCGTTCGCTGGGAAGACTGGTTCTAAAGAAGAGCTGCAAGGGACTGGTTGCCTTCTAACTAACGTATCGGAAGCAAATCCCAAAATCATTTCAAACCAGCCCCTGCTGAAAGGCAGGCCCGTCCAGCCAGAAACCCCTGTTCCGGCAAAGCCGCTCAGAATTCCGGAGCACAACAATGCTTTCCCTGTTCCTGTTTTTGGCGGCGGCAAGTCAGCATGAAAAGGCAGACCGGGGAAGGGGCGTTCTGCCTGGACTAAATGCCCTCCCCATCACCTAAGCCTCCTCAACCCAGCCCAGGCCTTTCCTCCCTGCAATCCTCACCCGGAAGCCTTTCTCCTTGTCTGCCTTGATCTCCGCATCTAGTTGTTTCAGCGTGGCCGTGAAGCCACGGAACAGCAAGTATTCCCGCACCAATTCGTCAACACGCTCCGCCGCAGCCGCCATCGCGCCCCCGGCTCGCCGACAAGACGAAGAGACGCCCGGAGTTCCATGCGCCGCCCTACGCTCGCTCGCTGCCCCAATCCTCCTCCTCGCTCCGCCCCTGGGTGGTGTTTTTTTTTTCCTTCGCCCCCCCAACTTTTTTTTATTACAAATGAATATTGACATGTATTTACAACTTGTGATTTTTGTTTTGCTTAGAAAACTGAGCCTTAAAGCATTGATATCCTCCAAAGACGTTCGTTCCTTTGACTGATTGCTGGTTGAAATGTTAATTTATATTGCTAGTCCATGTATGCCATATGCTAAATAAATAAATCCTTTGAGAATTGGCAGCGCCGTTTAGTAAAGAAAAGTCATGATTTTGGCACAACCCTCCGTATTACAGGTTTTAAAGAACCTAGATGTCTCTTTACTAGCTTACCTAAATTATGAATTTCCCTTAGCACACACAGAGTATGCAAATAATAAATCCTTCATGTGGATGGAACCACCAATTTTATTTGTCCTGTACATTAATGCTGTTAATCCTGTTATATATATACCGTGTTTCCCCGAAAATAAGACCCTGTCTTATATTTTTTTGAACCCTGAAATAAGCGCTTGGCCTTATTGCCATGCTTTCAAAAGCCCGATTGGTCTTATTATCAGGGGGATATCTTATTTTGGGGGAAACAGGGTATATATTAACAGGCACATGCAAGGCCTTTTTAAAGCAATTGCCCCAGAGAAGGGGTTGGGGATTATTCTTTGCATCTCAATATTGACAATGGATTAATATTTTTCATTCAAAACAACAAAACTAAATTATAAAATATAATAAGAAATAATTCACTTGTTTGCCCTCTCATTACTGGACTATTGATGTAACTGACACAAACCAGTGGACAAAAAAGGAATAGGATGCAGCAAAAAATTGGGCATGATACTTTCAGCTTTCAACTTCTGGGCTTCTCAATCTTAAAAAGGTTCTGGTATTGCTATGTGAATATATTAACATCTAAATCAAGTTTTTAACAGAGCAGACTTCAGGATTTATTGGATTATGGTTACAAAAAGCTGCTGTAGACCATGTTCTCCATCCAGTTAAGGAGGACTTATGGAAATGGAAAATGAACCATCAGTACAATTTCAAGAGAGGTAGTCATATTGTACATATACTGATGAACATAGCTCAACATTAAGTTAATTACAGAGTTTCAATCTATAACATATCTATAACAACCAGTCATTAGTTTGTTACCGGCACCAGGGTTTCAAGTCAATTCCTCTGGCTAGAGCAAAATTTACCCTACCCTTAAATTGAAATTCTTCTTTAAAAAAAAGAACTCTTAAATAATGGCATTATTATAAGTGTTCTTAGAATCTGTATGCTAAATTCAAAACTTTCAGTACCTCTTTAAAAAATGAACTACCATCACTTGGGGAAGATATAAGTATGGTGTATTTATCCAGACTATTAGTAATTTGTCGTAGGCAAATTTGTTAAAGAAATAGGTGAGAGTAAAAGTAAATGCCTGCTTCAATCTGAGAACTGGATATGTTTTTAGGCACCTGATATTTATATGAAATAGATTATCAGTTGCTTTAGTACTACAAGCAAGTAGATCCAGATTAAATTAAATACGGAGAGCGCAACAGCCTTATTTGATAATCTGTACAGTACACACTGCAAACACCGTCCTAGAAATCTCCAGGAGCTTAAAAGTACGATGTGAAAACAACCCCATATCCTAATATATACCTAATATATAATAAACAATACTCAAATCAGAACTGTTTCTTTTCCAGGACTCTGAAATCCCCACTTTCTCTGAACTACCCGCTTCGCCTCGTCTTATCTTTCCCGCGTTTTTGTTACCATTTCCGGCATCGCTTCGGTCAGAATCTCTTGCTTAACATTCGCGTCTTCCTATTGGCGGTTGGCGAATTCTTCTGCGATGTGATTGGTCATGTTATGCGCCGCTAAATTAATGCTATGGTGAGAGCGGGTGCAGGATGATAGGTGGGCGAGTGGAATGTCTGCAAGGTGGAATGAGCGGTAGGGCTTTTGGGGGTAACGAAGGAGTCACGTAACCCTGAAAAGTGTAGCTTTTGTCTCTCGTATTCCAGGGTCGAGTCTGTAAAGACGTCCCGCGTGGAGTGAGGAACTGGGAGCGTAACGTGGGGAAAGCATTGCACTCCTAAGGAAGGTTAGTCAGGCACGTTAGAAAAAGATGGTGAAAAGAAAGGGAGTGTCTACAGAAGGGGACGGGACAACCCCGGAGAATAGCTGTAAGCAGACGGTGGTAGATACATAGAGTAGCTGATTGGCTGTATAGTTGATAGAAAAAGTAGTACGTTTCAACCTCTTTTATCTTTTGAAGTCAGGTGGGACAATGTTACTTGTAGTTTGAAAATTCTGGGAAAAACAAGCTGAGAAAATGATAAACGCTGCTATTTCAAATACCAGAGATATTCACGGAATGCAATGTCAGTCCTTCTGACAGTCCTTCCAACTTGTCTATGCAGTAGCAGTAACGCTCTGGGATTCAAGAGAAGAAAATTTAGCTCTTTTGCATGCAAAGTCTGTGGCTGACCAAATATATAAGCTATTAACCCCCCACTTTTTAAAATGCCCAAAACACATATATAGTCAGAAGCAAGGAATATTTCTCTTTCAATAAGACGACAACAGTGAGAGAAAGAAAAAAGGAATGGACCCAACTGAAACTGCAAGGTGTTTTCTGTTGCCAACCAAATTACAATTGGAAGCCCATTAGCAAGAGAGGAACACTGCTGTATTGCCTTATTTCAATGCTGAAAGTAATATTTTGCTATTTTAACTAGTAGCCATAAATAGCTTTATTATCACATCCTGTGCTAAGCACATTGAGCTACAAGCATATTCCACAGTTTTTGGAGTCTGAATAAATAGCCTTATTCTCCATTAATTTATCTAAATCATCTTTACATCATTCATTTGAACTAATATTCAATATATATTCATTGAATATGTAAGGAGGAGGATTTTTGTAGTCTTCCTCACTGGAGTAAATAATTTCTGTTAAAGAATTTATATGCAGAGATACAGAGAGAAGCCTTAAAGTATAAAGGGACCTAATTCTGAAATACCATCTATGTACTTTTCAAGTTTCAATATCTCTCTTTTCATAAATAATAAAAGTATTACATGCATTTCAAATTGGCAGAACTAGGAGACATATACAGTGTTCCCACTTTTATTGTATTAAAAATGATATACATTTATTACTGTATATAATAAGGCACTTCTGACATTTTCATATGGACAAGTCCTATTCATAGTTGAACAGATAGGCCATATTTACATAAAAGAATTGCAGGTATAAATTTTGTGAGGTCAAATAAAGATAAATTTGAGAATTAAGGAAAAACATTGACCAGCTCTATCTGGTTTTCTTCTAAGAGCTCACTGGTTTCATATTGTAATAAGACATGACCAACATTTCTCCATATAAATTTATAGGAAACCATAAACTGATTCACTGTATAGTTGTAAGCAAATTAACTTAGACCTGAATATGTCTCTCTGTCTCTCAGTTCCATCAGATTTCCACCTCAGGCATACAGAATTGCTGTCAAATGTGTTGAACAGAAATTTCATGTAGGACTATAAGATTAGGCTTCAGGCTGGGACCATTTGTTTTCACATTTTACTTCAACAGCAAACATATTTCTTGTTACCTCTGGGTCAACAGTATATCCTGAGAGCAGGATTATCATGATTAGAATGAAGCCTAGGTTTGCCTATATTCAAATCCATTTACTGAGTTATATTATCCAATTAATGTCTATTTGCCTAATTTTTCTAATGAAATTGTGTGTATAAATTCTGGTGTGTCATCTTGAGCCTGCTAACAGAAATACTGAATTTAAATACAATTTCATTCAAAGACAGCAGCAGATGTTCCTTTACCGTGTCATGCTATAGATGGAAGTTTATATGGTGAATGTTTCTTCATAAAAATAATGAAAATTTAATAAATAATAATTTAACTAATAGTACTATGAATAATAATTCTTTAAAGCATTGGAGTCAATATTATTTGGCATTAAGATATGACAAGTGAAATGAAAAAATATTAAGATGGGGTAAAGTTCAGCACTTTAACCTTTATAACAGTGAAAATGTTGAACATGCATATTATTATTATTATTTAATTATTATAATTTATTTTATATACCGCCCTTCTCCCGAAGGACTCGGGGCTGTGAACAGCCAGCAGATAAAATACAGAAAATACAAAAATTAAAACAATATTAAAAACCAATTAAATTAATTTGACCCACAGTTAAAACACCCCCATATTAAAAAAACGATAATTTAGCAATTTAAAATTAAAACAATTTTAAAAATATGGTCAGGTCAGCCCAGCTTGATGAAACAAAAACATCTTTAAGGCACGGTGGAAAGTGCACAGATCCGGGATCCGCCGTATCTCCGGGGGCAACTCGTTCCAGAGGGTCTTCCCCTGGGGGCCGCCAGCCGACATTGTTTGACCGACGGAACCCTGAGGAGCCCCTCTCTGTGGGAGTGTACTGGTCGGTGGGAGGCTACTGGCGGCAGAAGGCGGTCTCGTAAATACCCGGACCCTAAGCCATGGAGCGCTCTAAAGGTGGTAACCAATACCTTGAAGCGCACCCGGAAGACCACTGGGAGCCAGTGCAGCTCGTGCAGGAGAGGTGTTACATGGAAGCGTCGAGTCGCGCCCATCACCACCCGCGTGGCTGCATTCTGGACCAGTTGGAGCCTCCGGGTGTTCCTCAAGGGAGCCCCATGTAGACAGCATTACAGTAGTCCAAGCGGGACGTGACGAGGGCATGAGTGACCGTGTGTAAGGCATCCCAATCCAGAAAGGGACGCAACTGGTGGATCAGGCGAACCTGATAAAAAGCCCCCCTGGCCACGGCCGTCATATGCTCTTCCAAAGACAGCCGTGTATCCAGGAGGACACCCAAGTTGCGAGCCCTCTCTGGGGGGGCCAATGACTCGCCCTCAAAAGTCAGCGATGGTACCAATTGACTGTATCGGGATGCCAGAAGCCACAGCCACTTGGTCTTCGACAGGTTGAGCCTGAGCCTGTTTCTCCCCATCCAGATCCGCACGGCCTCCAGGCACCGGAACATCACATCAAGGGCATCGTTGGGGTGGTCCGGGGTGGAGATGTACAGCTGAATATCATCAGCGTACAGATGACACTTCACCCCGAAACCACGGATGATCTCACCCAGCGGCTTCATATAAATGTTGAACAGAAGGGGCGAGAGAACCGACGCTTGCAGCACCCCACACACAAGGCGCCTCGAGGTCGATCTCTGCCCCCCTGTCAACACAAACTGTGACCGGTCGGAGAGGAAGGAGGAGAACCACCGCAACACGGTGCCCCCTATCCTCAACCCCTCCAGTCGGCGCAGCATGATACCATGGTCGATGGTATCAAAAGCCGCCGAGAGATCTAATAGGACCAGGACAGATGAACAACCCCTGTCCCGAGCCCTCTAGAGATCATCCACCAATGCGACCAATGCCGTTTCCGTGCTGTGCCCAGGCCTGAAACCCGCCTGGAACGGATCTAGATAAACCATTTCCTCCAGGAACCGGGGAAACTGTCGCACCACCACACTCTCAACAACCTTCGCCACAAAGCAAAGGTTGGAGACAGGATGATAATTTGCTAATACAGCCAGGTCCAGGGAAGACTTCTTGAGGAGGGGCCTCACCACCGCCTCCTTCAAGACATATATTTTCATCTATTTTTGGCCATCTTATTTGTCCTTATTGCATAAATATAAGCAATTAAAATGAATTTTGATCTTATTCACTCATAATGATGGGATAACATTAATACAGTAAGAAACAATAGGCTTCACATTATGCATGTTTAACTCAGGTATTATCTTTCAGCTTTTGATGGAGATATCTGGAGACTGCAGCACCCCATATGCCAGAGTGACTCCTAAATACCATACTCGTCTGCAAGGGATAGAGCCACAAGTGGGCAAAAGACGCTTATCTCAGGCACGTCATAGAGCTACTTTGGCAGGACTGTTCAACAGCTTACGAGAAACTGTATTTTCGCAGCAAGAAAATTCTGTCTCAAAGGTACAGGAATAAGTATGCAAATCTCTAAACATGGAAAAAAAATACAATAAGAATAATACTTAGTAATAAATAGTAATAAATATTCTTGCTGTATTTATATGTTGTTACAATTGCTGTTTTTAAATTTTATTTCTGAAATTAAAGCCATCATGGAAGTTTGATTTAGTGCTTGTTCCAATTTTGTCTGTAAATGTAGGGATTTGTCCTCTGGGTGCTAGAATTATATCTCTGAGTAAGAGCAGGCAGCCTTTTTAATAAAGAAGTCAATACCATGAGAGTGTGCCAACTCACAAAAAACCTGCCATGACACATAGCAATCCATTTATTTTTAAATTATTTTTTATTTATTAAATTTATTTGCCACCCATCTCATTTCAAAACAACTCTGGGATTTACCACTACTAACTAGCCATTTAGCTAAAGGAATCCCAAAGTTTCAGTGTCAAACTGCAAATAAATAATATTACAAATAAATGCTTTGCTTTATTTTGTAACATGCTTGCTTCTTATTTTACTTAGTAAAATAATCTTTCTTAAAGTCAGATATCAGCATGTTGGTGGACACCAAGAGTCCTTCTTTTGGCTTAGAGCTTTGAGCGAGCAAGGTGTGATGTAGAATGTGATATGGAAATAAGGATTTATAAATTGGTTTCTTTCTGGTCAATGACATTTTGGTATTATCTTAATTTATAAGTCTGTTTCATACTATTTCATTTTAAAAATGAAAGACTGATTTAACCAGTGCTCTTAACACAATAAAAAACATGTTAGGAAAACAAATATATACCCAGGCATAAATATACATTTTAATCTATTGTTGAGATTATTGAGGTATGTGCAAAGTCAAAGCAAAAACTTCAGCCTGTGAAAAATAGCTACTTCAGAGAACTCACCTCTATACTGAAAGAATAATTAAGGTTTAATGAAGACACTATTTTTTTCTGATAAAAGTATCTTCCCATAGAATTAGATTTCCTGGAAAAATTAAATACATATTAAAGCAGCTCAGGCCTTTTCTACAGGTATGCTATAAATACAGAGAGTCCTTGGCTTATAACAGTTCAATTAACTGTTTGAAGTTACAACGGCACAGAAAAAAGGACATGACCATTTTTCGCACTTATGACCTTTGTAGCATCTCCACGATCACATGATCAAAATTCAGACACTTGGCAGCTGGTTCATACTTATGACCATTGTTGTGTCCCAGGGTCATTAGATCCTCTTTTACAACCTTCTGACAAGCAAATCAATGAGGAAGCCAGATTCACTTAACAACCATGTTACTAATTTATCAACTGCAGGGATTCACAGGGACACTTAACAACAGTTGTCAAGAAAGGTTGTAAAATGGGGCAGAACTCAATTAACAAATGTCTCACTTAACAACAGAAAGTTTGGGCTCAATTGTGGTCATGAATCGAGGACTACCTGTAGTCTATCCTCTCAAGCTGTTTTCAAGGTTCTTGCTTCTCAAGTGGTAATCTCCTTCCTGATTGACTTATTTAGTGTAGGTGGATGACAATACAGGTAGTCCTTAACTTGCAACCATTTGTGAATGTTCCACATTACAATGGCATTGAAAAAAGTGAATTATGGCCATTTTTCAACTTACAGCTATTGCAGCATCCCCACAGTCAGGTGATCAAAATGTGCACACTTGGCAACTGGCATGTATTTATGAGGGTTGCAGTTGATCACTTTTACAATCTTCTGACAAGCAAAGTCAATAGGGAAGCCAGATTCACTTAACAACCATTGCTAACATTACAGTGATTCACTTAACTGTGGCAAGAAAGTTCATAAAATGGACAAAAGACTGTACATTTAAATATGTTGATAAAAAATAAAAATAAAAAACTAAAATAAAATAAAATGGGGCAAAACTCACTTAGCAACAGAAATTTTGGGCTCAATTGTGTCGTAATTTGAGGACTACCTGCACGGATTGCCATAAGATATTTTACTCTTTCCCCACATGGATTTTGATTGCATGTTTCATGCTTTTCATATGGAAGATCCTTTAATGCCATGATATTATCACATGTTATTTGATATATGGAAAATATGAATCCAGACCACAATAATCGGTCAATATAATCTGAAAACCTGTACAGCAGCACTGGTTTCCCTCTTTTAACTTTTTTTTTTCTTTTCTCCTCATAACTTGATATATTAAATTCTTTCAGAGTAGCCCTCCAGATCCCCAACTGACTGTAGCCAATGTGAAGGACTATTGGGAGCTGTAATTTAGCAGTTTCCATAGGCCATGAGTTCCCCATCAGACAGGAGCAATAGGTTGACTAGGGTGTTATTCAGGGTGATGTTTATCACCTATAAATCCCTTCATGGTATAGGACATGGTTATTTGAGAGACTGAAAAAAGCTACAGAAAGCTCTCTCTCTCTGATAGCTATTTGCCTGCTCAGTAGGATTGGGTAGAGTGGACATGCTCCAAGTCCTTTTAATTAAATGTTGTCACCTGTTGGGCTTAGGAAGCATGCCTTCTCTGACATGAGGTCTGTCCACTGGAACACCTTGCCCTCAGACATCTGTACAGCTCTCCCTTGCAGTTATTCTATATTTCTTTCAAAATTTTGTTGTTTCTTACCTTTGGGATGGAAACCATTCAGAACTGTTTAGAAGTTGGCCTCGAAATCCAGTTAATTAATTAGCTAACCAATTAAATGAACACATGAATATTAGCCTGTTCAGAATGCATACGAGTAGCTCTTTGGGTTTTTTTGTTTGTTTAGTCTCAGGTCTTATGCCAAGCTAAGAATTATATCCTGGAACTGGAGCAAACTTTGGAAAATCTGTTGAAGATGAAAGGTACTATATGGAAGTGCTTGCTAAAACTTTTTCCTCTGCTACGTCCTTGTTTCTTCTTTTAAAAAATTAGATTAGTGGCAAAGTTATAGAATCAGTATAAGGCTGGAACATAAGAAGATGAAACTTTTCCATCTCATATTTACTAGCACAAGAGATCATTATGAAGGAAATCCCAACAATAGAAGGTGGGGAGGATGTGCTTAATCTCTTAAGTGTTTTCATGTAGATTTCTTTCCATGTTTGATATTCAGTGAGCATTCATAAAAGTTAAAGACTCTTTGACTTGATCTCACTGTGGGGAGCTTTACAGACATACCTATTGAGTTTTTCTTGGCAGCATTATGAAAGTGATTTGGCACTACTTTCTTCCAGAAATACCTTGAATTCCTGATCTAGTTCTCTCAAGACCTGGCTTTGTCATCAGGCTTGGGGGTCTCGGACAGATAAAATCTTGAGGCTGCTCCATTGCTGATTGAATCTCATGTGTGTGTGCTTATATGACTGACATACTTTTTATACTTTTTTTCCACATGGCCAGAGCCCTTTCTTGTGACATGGCTGGCCATATAAATTAAATAAATTAATCTATGGCCTTGAGATTTTTTTGGTGGTCTCCTACCCAAATACTAATCTGAAGAACCCTGTTTAGTCTTTTTTGGATCAACTAAAATTAAATAGGTGCTGAACTTAATATAAATGTATATTTAACCAAGCCAAAAAAAGGAAGCATCAAAATATCTGTTCAGAGGAATGGACAATTCTGGAGGGCAATGTCATTCACTCAGTCAGTCAGTCAGTCAGTCTATTTCTATCACAGCCTATCTCAGTCAATGACTCTGAGCAGCTTGCAATTAAAAAATATTTTACAATTAAAATACTAAAAACATTTAAAAACTATCCTATATTTGTTATCTGTAGCTGTTATCCTATATTTGTTAAAATGTTCCCCATTTAACAAATATACTGTAGGATCAGACACATGTTTCTCTTCTTTTATATGATTCAAATCCAGACAATATTATAAGGTGGCAAAATTTGTCTTTGTCAAAATCTGTGCTTACCAAGAAAGGAAGGGTGATATAAAAGTTGATCTATAGATTAAGTCCAATTTTGCTGCTCTGTTTTAAATCTTACATTTTTTGTGCATTTTGTTGTTTGTTGTGTGTTTTTTTTTTTATTTGATTTATATCCCGCCTTTCTGAGACTCAGGGCGGCTTACAGTGCGTTAAGCAATAGCCTTCATACTTTTGTATATTTTTATACAAAGTCAGCTTATTGCCCCCACAAACTGGGTCCTCAATTTGCCTACCTTAGAAAGGATGGAAGGCTGAGTCAACCTTGAGCCTGGCAAGATTCGAACTTACTTTAATTGCAGACAGCTGGTGTTAAATTACAGTGCCTTGTCTGCAGAGCTATCCAGGCTCCTATCCAGGTTTGTTGATGTGTTTGTAATGGTTTCTTTTTATATTCCTAGTTTTGGGCTGAAATAAAATATCTATTTCTCCCATTGTCAAATAAGTTTTATTAAATACAACTGTATTGTTATATTTGGATGAGAGAACTCTATTCACTTCCTTTTTCCATTATGACATTCAATTCATTGCTCATCTCATCATTTTCCAGCCTAATTTTCTAATTCTTCAAGCTGCTATTTATGAGTGATTTTTTTATCTATTCAAGCATCACACGCTGTGATTGGCTTTTGCCAATCATCTGTTACTAGGTGGTCTTAGCTGAAAATATGGGGAACTGAAACTTCTTCAGAGAACATCTGTGCTCCATCAATGAGCTATAGCCCCTCCGAAAATAGAGCTAGGTGAACTATCATTATCCATAGAACTTTCTGTCTTGTTGCTTATATAATGTTTGTTGCCATTATATTATCTGTTTTCGTTTTGTTGTATCGGTTGAAATTATAAGTTTGGATTATTTTATTGACAGATACTTCATGTACTGTATATTGTTTGGGCAGCAACACAATATTAATATCAATAGAGATAACAGTACAAATAACCAATAATAAAGATAATAATCTGTTTTTTAAAAACATTTTCCTACAATACTTTCTTCAAATGCATTTGATTATATTCAAATTTCAAAATATCCCTATTAGTAACAGATGTTCTTTCTGTTGCCAACAGAAGTTTTAAATCTGGAAGACGGCAATCCATCCAGTTTGGAAGATGTAAAGGAGGAATATGTCAAGATGTATTTCAACAATCATAGGTTACAAAATTTAAACTTTCTGAAAGCATCCCTTTTAAATTTCCCAAATAAGCCTGTAATTATTCAGAAAATAATTACATTCCTATCCTATGAAATTTGCATGGACTTGCAATCTTTACTGAGTTGCAGAAACAACAGGGAAAATTAGTGTGAAATAGAGATTTTGAAAGTGGGATTTTTAACACGATGAATCTTAATCCCACTTTTTTATCCTTGTTTCTCTTTATTCTCTTTGTTTATATTGCTTCCCCATATGGTTTCTGTAGCCTAGTGTATTTCTTGAAGAATAATTAATGCCAAACAAAATTTGTTGACTTCCCAATACATGTTCATGACAAAAAAAAATGGATTTCGGTAATCCCTCCATTTATTTTGTAGGATCGTACACTCTTCAGATGTTTTGAGTCAAAATGGCACCACGGTCTGGTACGTGATCCAAGAACATGAGAAACCAATTGTAGAAGAAGATGTAAGTCAAAGGCTAACACAGTCATCAACTACCTCTTCTCCTGATCTCATGGAGTTTGAACGGTACATGAAGAAATATGATATTTCTCCTTTTGAATTGATTCAACTAATAAAGTTATATAGGGTTAAACTGCTCGAGTTAGTCTATATCTGAATGAATGAAGACATTTAATAGTTTTTAGTAACTGCAGGATAGAAGAAAGAAAGTGGATGTTACATTTCACATCACAGCCTTTAAATAATGGAAGAATATTGTCCTATAAGAAATTACCTTATATTTTGTTTCTTGTGTAGCAGGGGAAGAGTACACCGACTGCACAATTGCACCGATCAGTGCAATATAGTATATTTTGTCTGTAGCTATAGTATAGCTTAGTGAAAAGGTTCATTTGTGTCACGTTATTCAAGAATCCTGGTCAACAAAGTGACATTTGCTTTAATTTTTTATATATAAAAGTTTTAATTCAGAATAAAAACAAATAAGAACCAATATTGAAGGGAAAAAGAGAAAAAAATGAGGGAAGAAAAAAAGCAGAAACAAATGTGCAGAAATCAAAGAAAAGAAAGATGCAACAATAGCTCCAAATAAGCTGGAAATAAGTGCTTATTGATACAAATTGCAAATCACTACTTAACCTGAACTGCTTCTGAAAAACACATGTTCTGTTTCTGCTGTTCTTAAATGTACCTATCACATAGTATGACCCTGTGTACCTATTACATGGCATAGTATGTTTTACAGCAAGCTACTTTTTTCTGAGAAGTAGGGGCAGCATTGTAAGAATAACTATGGAATATGACCAGCAGGTGGTGCAAACGTATTTCAGTTACACAACGTGAGGCATTTCTTAAATAACCTATCTATGTTTTCAGAGATGGCAAAAATCAGTACAAGGTTTTGTTTTTTAATACATGACCTATAAAATTATTTTGTGATTTCTTGTCTCATTCCTTCCCTCTTACAATGATAGTTTCAAAGCAATTATGATCACCGTTTTTATAATAATGCAAATTATTCATATTCTTCAAGATTTTAGTGTGAATTTGCTTGTATTTAATTTCTAATTCTACCGTTAGTCTCCTGATTAATGTAAGAAATTAATTCCTGTTTTTTTTAGGTTAAACTTAATCAAATAAACTCAAATGCCATCCTACAAATCATAATTAGCTTAATAATATAACAGAAAGCAAAGTAAGAATCATGTCAGAAAGTTCATATAAAAGGAGTTCATATAAAAGGAATTCCTTTACCTCATTTGGTAAAGGTCCATTAACTCAAAGATCTTATCTTCAATTTTCAGATGATTTTGTGTACAAAATTATATATGTATATATATGTGTATGTGTGTATATGTGTGTATATATGTATATATATATGACCAAACAGTCCATCCATCGTGATGTTGGTCAGTCTTTTCTTTTTCTTTTCCATTTGTTCTTCAAGTGAGAACTGTGGATTGTACTATTATGCATTTATTTGTTTTCCCAGCTATCCATGGTATTATTAAGTTTTTTCCAATATCAGAAGCACCAATATTTTTTATTCTGGGTCAGTACAAATTTGGCATACATAAGAGTATCACAAGAAAAACTATTGTCATTATAATTCTAATCTTTATAGGTCATAGTAAATGTAAACGTTGGGGAAGAAGGAGGCCTCTGAATATCATTTCCAGACTTTCATTGTTGCCTTGTCAGGTGCCACTTACTGTAATATATTTCTAGTTGTTTTACTGTTAGTAGTTAATCCCAAAAAACAGAAGCTATCTACCACTTCAATTTTATTGTCAATTGGTAGCTGTGTTGTCATTAGTTTGGTCATTTTTTTGTATTTAATCTTAGTCTATTATCATTTGCTTTTGGGTTGGCCAAGTGAGAGTTTCAAGGTTATGTGCCAGTACCTGGAGGCTGTCTGTGTTTGGATGGGGAAGAACCATCTCCAAATCAGGTCTACAAAGACTGAATGGGGGTGGGGTGGGGATCTTTGAGCAGCCCAGATCTTGAATATTCTATCTATGACCTTGGCTGGATTAGATGTAATTGTATGTGACAGGCAGGGAAAAGAGATGCATCCTAGGGAACAATCAGACACGAGAGCAAAAAAACCCTTAGTTAATTAGAGAAAGAAACAAGGAGGACCCACCCTAAGTGATCAGGCTGCAAAATGATCGTGGAAGATTTGTGCTTTCAGATTTGCAAGATTTTGTTAGTGTAGCCTTACAATAAAGTAGAATTAGTTTATGAGGTCATGTTTCCTGACTGGTTTTTCTGACAGAACTGACAAATGGTAAGCAATTTGGGGATATTCCTGAAGTCACAGCTTCTGTTAGCCTTTTCCTAGATCAGGGCCTCTTCAGACAATCACCTATTCTCACAATTTAACTGCAATATATTCTACGTTGGGATGCCCTTAAAGGCCACCCAAAAGTTTCAGTTGGTACAGAATGCAGTGGTGTAGGCAGTGCTAGTCATACCTTGTTATGCCATGCAACACTTCTGCTTTGTGTGCTGCACTGCTTGCCAGTTTACTTCTGGCTGTGATTCATTGTGCTGGTCACTATCTATAAAACCCTACCTAGCATAAGGTCTGATAACTTGAGGGAGTGCTTGCTACCCATAGTATCTGCCCAGTTGATTTGATCTGGCTTGGTTGGCTTTCTCTGTTTAGCGTGTTTTTTAAACAAGACCATCTGTTGGGATCCAGAAGCATGACTCCTCCATAGCAATGCCCACCTTCTGGGATATGATTCCTCTCAAGATCCAAACAGACTACACCCTGATGATGTTTCAAAGGGCCTTGAAGCTCTAGGCCTTTAGCAAGGATGAATGAAGCTTCGTTGCATTATGTGGGTTTGTTTCCTTCTGTTCCTGTCTGGTTCTTGTCACATTTACCATTTTCACTGTTCATTTGTATCTCTTGTCTTTCTCTTGTTTTTAATGTTTCATTTGAATACCCCCTCCAAAGCTTCTGGGAGTCTAGTGGCATATAAATGTAATAAATTATTATTATCCCCATTGTTGTACTGTGCTCCTTTATCATCATTACTAAATGTTGCAGATCATTTACATTTTCAGCTATCAGTTTGAAATACTTTAGAATTTTATGAAAAATAAATGCTGGCAGTTCTGGATTTTATTTTGGATATATTCATTTTGTGAGGTCTCATCATAATTACATTATATTCCGTATAAATCGTGGTTGTAAGGTATGTGTGTTTAACATTTTGAGTTTGATTTTATGTGGCAAGCTGGTTGTTTCCATGAATAGCAAATATAAAAAATGGCATACAAACTTTGTGTTTAAAACAGGAACTCAATTTACAGCAAGAGTTATCTTGATTTTCTCCTTCCATGAAATGTTTTAGAAAGCAACCTCTTGAATGTCGATTATGATAAAAGCAGACAGTACCATTTTCTTGTCCTTTTATTCCTTTGCTGCGGAACATTAGCAACAGATAATGTTAACATAGAATATTAAGTAGTTTAATTAAGGATGTGATTATTGGGTAACAATTTTCTGCAGATATTGCCTTGTCAGGCACCCTAGATAGAAAATTAATTTTCCAAATTATTTGATCATTATCATCAGTTTTGTTCTCTTACACTTTATTTTCTGTAGTTAAGCTATTAAGTTCTGTGCCCTTGCAATTATTTTAGAACTGCAGTTGAAGTAGCGATCTTCTTTGTCAAGCCTCTAGTATTTGTGACCTCTAGTATTTGGGTTGAAACATTGAAGATAATTGATTATTAATCAACATATAGGCATATTCATTTTATACTATCTTTTTCCCATTATGTAAGCCACCCAGAGTCGCTGTGACAGTGAAATAGGCGGCATATAAATTTAATAAATATCAGAGTAGTCACTTCAGTATAGTGCAGGTTATTTCTTCAATTTTAAAACTGCACACATCTTCTAATGCAGCGTCTCTCATATTTTCAGATAAGGAGATAATATACTGTATAGCCTTATCTTATTCTTTTGCCAACTAGAGCCAGTCTGTTTCATAATTTTCTGTGGCATCCTGATCTGTGCATAAATTTTGCATGAGGATAGTGAGATGTTCTGTCAATCCCATTTTTCTAAAGACAATTAACAGGTTGATATGGTTGACACAGTCAAAAGTCTTCTATAGTCAATGAACTGTACATTGTGGGGGTATTCTTTATTCTTCTTTTTCTAAAATACATCTACAATAATATCTCCCTCTTCTAAAACCAATTTGAACAACTGAGTAAGGCTCTAATTCGTGTTGGATGATCCTAAGTTTTATTTTGCTAGCATATCAAATTACAGTTACTTATTGTGTAGCAGTTGTACAATCTCTTAAGGATCTTTTATTTGGTACTGATATGTAGCCTGATATCTTCCTACCAGTTGGCCATTGTGTTCGCCACATTTCTAGCATAGTTCAATTAGAACGTCTACTGATTCTTCTTCATTGCTTGCCATATTTTTGAAGATATTCCATCAATTCTTATGGCTTTCCTACTTAGTAATAAGAGTGTTGATTTAACTTGGTATTCTAGTATTAAAAGGTTATGTAAGTAGGGAATATCTTCTAAGCTGTGTTGGATGTTGACATCTGTACTGTACAGAATTTCAACATACTCCTTCCTTATATGTTTGATTTCTTTGAATCTGTCAGTTGACATCTGTAGTAAATCAATTAGACGTTAGACCCTCTTTCTAGTTTAATAAATCTTTTGGAAGACTTTCTTTGGTTTTCCATGTCTGTTTCCATCTTTGATGTCTTTATAAATATTATAATACTATTCCTTCTCTAGGCCATGGAAATTTTTAATTAGAGCCTTCCAGAAAGTTTTGTCTTTCTTGGTTGTTGCCTTCTCTTTTCAACAATTTCTACTGTCGGTTTCAACATCCAGTTCGGTTTCTTCTATTTCTTAATCATAGACATTCTCTTTTCACACTTTTTATTAACAACTTATTTGATGTCATTCCACAGTTCCTCTGGCTCCCATCAATAAGGTTCAGGACTTCAAAGTTCTCCTTGAAAATGGTGGGTATACAGTGCTCCATATTGTATTGTAGAAACTGGTTGGTTTTCTTCTGTTTTAGCCCTGTCTTAGAACTTGCACATGAGCAAAGAGTCTTATATTAACCACACCTTTGTTGTCGTAACTGAACTCTTTCATCTATTTATGCCAATAATGTAGCAAATATTTGATCTGGTGATGTTCCCTAGGCCATATAGTCCAACTAAATGTCCTCCTTACTGTTTCCAGCTTTAGAAATCCACTTTTCAATCATAAGCAGCCTATTCTGTCAATTTCAGACAGAATTTGACCATAAAATTTGTCAACTTCTTCTGTATCAGTAGTTGGGCCAAAATTAGAATAACCCTCATACTAGAGAGTTCATGAAATCTATTTACCTGCATTGTATCAAAGTATTGTCTTTGTACACTCTTAATGACAATAAAAACAATGGCATCCGTTTTTCATGTTCTGAGCAGCAAACGGTATGATCTTTTGAATGAATGTGCCCAATTCCGATTCATTTCAATTCACTGATGCCCCACTGTGTAGTCTGCTTATTGCTCTGTGCCTGTTAGATGCCATCCAGAAGATATTATGAGAGATGTCTCCTTTCCTGTTTCATTCCAGATACTTGTATTTTTACAAGCAGACTGTAGACTTGCTGGTTGATAATGCAGTTGTAAGCCCAGAAGAAGTTATGCTCCCTGTGGTCTCCACAGCTGTTTCCCATCTGTGGCAGGGACTCCCAGAAGACAGGAAGGACAGTGTTTTGCAGTACTGTAGTCAAAGACAGAATTTCATCTCTGAGATCAAGACAGCTTCTCAAGAACCTGCCTGTACTAATGAGAGCAGTGTGAGGGACAGTGGAACCAATAGTCAGGAAGCCAGCGGTTCAGTAGCATCCACACCGGAGGAGGTGAGAATTGGTGTCTTCTACGATTATAGTTGAACAGTTAGTTAAGTGTATAGTTCTAACATTTAAAATTGCTGAGTCTCTGTATTTCTTCAGTAATAAAAGGGAGGACAGTATAATCATTAATAAAAACACTAGGAAATACTGTGGCTAAATTAGCAATACGTATAGATCTTGACAATGTTCAAAAATTGTTCAAAAAATAGCTCCAATTTTTTAAAAAAGGATTCCTCTAAATAAAAGTGTAGCCAAAATAACCTATATAATATAATAATCTTAATTACAGCACAATCACATTTGGTATTTTCAGAATGTAAGCTCATGCCACGTCATTGCTTTATTCATCACTTAGCTCATATTAGTGATAACCAAAACATGTTGTTAGGTTCCAGATGAGATATGTGATTGGTAGATTAGGTGGAAAAACTACAAAGCCTCCTTTATCAACTAGTATTTATGTGGGTTTCTCCACTAAATCCATGGTAGATAATAGGCATTGGGGAAGGATATGATTATTTTTAATTCAATAGGTTCCAGAGAAACTAATTCCTGTCCTAATGTCTTAAGCCCTAAGATGTTTTGACAGTGCCTTTTCCTGTTACACTAGCAAAGCAGCACTTGTGGGGTTTCACTATAAACAGCAGTTTCAGAAAAAGAACAACATCTAGTAAGGAGGCTGAGAGTAATTTAGTTATTCCCTTACACTGTTAGATTATTCTTGGACAATCTTAATTACAACCAAGCTCAGTGAGAACATAAAATAGAGATTAATAAATTGTAGCCTCCTTAATAATCAGAAATCATTCTAAAATATAAACCATAAAAATAAATGGTCTTGGCTAAAAGAGTTATTAATTGTTTTTTTAAACTTGGGTGCTGAAAAATTAGTGGATAACAAATATGCACTCCAACCAGTTTCATCTTAGAATAACCAAGGGCCGCACTCCTTACTTATTTAGGAATCACCAGAATAAATGCTAATCAACAGCAGGAATTTAAAAAGAGATTTCTTGGATGATGCTTTTGGATGTAATGTCCAGAATGCTTTCTCTTTCAGATCCTCTTTGAAGATGCTTTTGATGTGGCCACTAGTTTTCTTGATAGAAATGAAGTACAAGAAATATCCAGTCAAAGGTAATGGTTTTAACTAGATAAATTGCTGCGTTGTTATATCAGGCAGACTAGAAGAGAAAGAACAGTAACAAGTTTCTCTTCTGGAACAATAATACAGTAATTAGTGCCTAAAGCATTTGCCTGTTTACCTATCAGGTTGAAATTCAAGCACTGTCTAATCAAGTGACCATAAGTGAGAGAATGATACATAAGGGCCTGATAGCATTGTGATTAACACCAGCTGTCTGCAATTACTGTAAGTTCGAATCTCACCAGGCTCAAGGTTGACTCAGCCTTCCATCCTTTCTAAGGTAGGTAAATTGAGGACCCAGTTTGTGGGGGCAATAAGCTGACTTTGTATAAATATACAAAAGTATGAAGGCTATTGCTTAATGCATTGTAAGCCGCCCTGAGTCTCCGGAGAAGGGCGGCATATAAATCAAATTTTTTTTTAAAAAAATAAAATCTAGGAGATGTGTTTTTATAGAATGGGGCTAATGTGAAAGTTATAATTTTATAGAATTGGTTTGGAAACAAGTAGTGTGACTAACTAAAAAACGGGCAGCCTTTTGCAAAATACTGTAAGTGTTCACTGACTTCCTCTTAAATGTCATTGTTGAGGTGCAAGAATAGATGTTTCTTATGAGACCATAACTAGCCCAAGATCACCAGTACAGTGATGGGTTGCCCCCGGTTCGGACCTGTTCTATAGAACCGGTAGTAAAACCGGCAGGAGGCTCTGCCCACCAACCCTGATGTCATCAGAAGCCTCTGTGCATGCGCAGAAGAGCGCACGCATAAAGAAACTGAGCATACGCGCACGGCCCCATTGCAAACCGGTAGGAACCCCCCCTGCACCAGTACTATGTTTGGTATGTAAAAGTTCAGTGCTTTGGACATACACAAGCAGTACACACAAGGGGCTCTGATTTGGAGAATATTGCATTACTGGGATAGAGATGACAGGAAGAACTACAGTGGAAAAAGATGCACTAAAGGGAAGAAGGAGATTTGGAATCTTTAACTAGGTCAGAATAATTATTTGTTCCTATATGTCTGGGCTATTCATTGCCTTGGTCAACTTCAGGCCATATTCACATAGTCTCCTTACCCTGCCACAATCACTTCCTGGTCCCAGTTCTCATGTTCTTATACTTTTGCCTGTTTTTCAAGGCAGCCTATAGCTAGGGTACCTGTAAGAGGTTTTCTGGTGTTCTATTGTAGAAGTTATGCTATGTAATATTCTGCCTCAAAGACTCTACATGCAGACAATATATGGCACATGAATGCTCATGGGGAAGGCAGCCTAAAATCACATGTTCCAGCTGGTTCCACAAGTTTCCTTTGTGGCGCTGTGGTTAGAATAAAGTATTGCAGACTGATTCTGCCCACTGCCAGGGGTTCAGTCCTGACTGGCTCAAGGTTGACTTAGCCTACCATCCTTCCAAGGTCGGTAAAATGAGGACCCAAATTGTTGGGAGCAATACGATGACTCTGTAAACTGCTTAGAGAGGCTATAAAGCACTGTGAAATGGTATATAAGTCTAAGTGCTATTGCTAGTGGTATTGCTATTTCCTATGCTATTTCCTCTCTGCCCCTCAGTCCTCTTTTTGCTGTGAAGGTAATTAATCCTCCAGCTCCAACAACCAGTTTTTATTTCCTTTAATGGATAAACTGCTTGACCAGTTGCCGACATCCCCCAACGGTGTTGGAGTGTCAAAGGTGAGCTGATATACAGAGGTTATCCTTATGAATATCGATTTGATTATCCTTATGAAGAGACAAAAAGCCACAAATTACTGAGCTAGCAACATGTTGATTGTGGCTTTTGTCTGCCATCAGTTGTGAACTCTGCCATGGCAGGCTGAGGGAGCAGTGATGCAGACCTGCTCAGGTGGCACCACAAAGGAACTCTTTGGGAGCAGCCCAATTTCAGGAGTCAGTTTTCCATTAGTACTGGCACCGCAATGAAAGCAAAACTAGAAAACTGTGTGAATTTCCTTTCAGTCAAACCTGTAATCATACAGGCCTTTATATGCATTTTCTTAAGGCAAAGGCTTGCTTTCTCTTCCACACAATTGATGGGGAACCTCAATATAGATTATTTTGTTTGCAGCTCAGCATTCACAGTCTGTGCTTCAGATAGTCAAGAGGATAACCATCGTCTCTACTTGCAGATCATCAGCTTCTTGAAAAACCTGTTTTTTGCTAGCACACAACCATCACAGGTAGGATTTTGCAACGTGCTTGAAACAAGCTTTGTTAGGACCATTTCTTATGTTGTGGAAGAAGTACAAGCTGTCACAAAGACATTGAAGCAGTTGGGAAAAGTTGAAAGTGACTAATTCACAGTGATGATAAATCACTTTAAATCTACTTTCAGAGTCCCATAATTATGTCATTTCTCAGCTACTCATGTGGTAACCATTTTCAACCGAAACTGCCCTTGAGTTAGGATTAGGTTTGGAAATTACATGTATGTGGCTATGCAGTTTTCTTGGCAATAGTAATGAAATGATTTACTATCATTTTCTGGGATTTCCCCCACCCCCACCCCCCCACTTTAGTCTACAACCTTGAAATCTCCTGGTAATCTCTCACCCAAGTACTAACCACCATCAAACCTGCTTATCTTCCAAACCTAAAAAACATCAGCCACATTCTTTCATCATCTACAGCAACATTTATTTTTTTCTCAGTATTCCTTTCTCAGTAAATTGAGACCTTTCTTAAATCTCTGGAGAACTGTAGCATAATTAAACTGAGCATTTGAGGGGAAATGGGGTTTCCTTAAGTAGCATAAAAAGCTGAAATTTGCTTGTAGTTGTTTAAGATCATGTCACATATGTATTTCATTGATAAAATACTCAATCCCTGGATCTTTTAAGGCAGGGCTGTCAAACTCCCAGCCTGCAGGCCTGATGCGTCATGCGCTGGCCATGCCCACACCTAGTTTAGCGAAGGGGAAAAAAGTCCCGATACATCATGTGACGCTACTGTGACAACGTGAATTTGACACCCCTGTTTTAAGGCACCCTGTTCATGTGGAAAACCACAAGAAATGAAGGGAAGCAAAATTGTGTAAATGAAGGTATTTAGTAAGGGGAAAAAGTAGAGGTACAATAGTGTGGTTTACAGCAATTGGCACTTGATGCCTAAATATGTGGCCATTTGATTAGGTCTTATGGTCCTCTGACACACCTGGGACTCCTAAGATGACATTATTTAAGGAAGGGATCCTGTATGTGTGCATTTTATTCAAGTTGTGGAATGGATAGATATTTTTTGGGAACAGACATCCCACAAACTACCCAATCCTATGTCCTAAAAAGGCTTCATAGGTGATAATCAGGCACTCTGAACTGCAACCAAAAACTTATTGGAAACCATGCAGCTGGTAAGGCAGAAATATCACATGACCACAATAAACTTATATCTACCCATGGTACTGCATTCTGAATCATTTATGATTTCTGGGTGGTCTTCAAAGGCAGCTTCACGTAGAGCAGTAATGAGCAATTATTAGCAATAAATAGAGAGTGTAGGAGCACAAAGTAAACACAATTTTATTTATAAAAAACAAATGGTACAGCAATATTATTTAATTTCTTGTCTCTTTTACCTAAAAAAATTAATCAGTGCTATTTCTAACCAAGTGAATTTACCCCCCATAATAACTCTGAGCTTCATATCCAATAAGTGTGTTTAATATTGCCAGACTCTTACATACTTTAAATACCATTTTGTTCATTAATAATCTGCTGAAGTATTTTTATTTTGCACAGCTAAAAGCTAGTTATCCAGGACCAACACCTGTTTTCTCTCTTTTAAATGTAATTTATTATCATATGCAAATAAATTGCTTTTCTCTGTCTGTGTCTGATTGCTATCAAATGCTACCTAATTTCTACCTTCCCATAAGAATTATGTAGATAGATTTCAAAACAGGGTGAATCACAAAATAACCACCTATTTTGCTTGTGCCCTCTAGTTTCAGGATCGAGCATTTCGTCTTCCTTTAATGAGGTGGAAGAGAAATACCACAATAAAGGGATGGCCTTCACACTTCTAGATTTTTTTACAGCTTTTCTAGATTCTTGATGCAAAACATTTGGCACACATTTTGTTAATGTTGAAACAAGAAATCTAAACAGCTCATTTCACTGGCATACTCTCTGTAAGACAATTCTAATGTTTCACAGATTTGAAACATATTGGGTAAATGTAATGGTTAATCTTATTATTTTATTATTTCTTACCATCTGGAACATTCAGAAAATGATTTAGAGCATAATTTTTGGATAATGAAAAAAAGGTAACTGTCATGAAGAGTCACAGATTTATAAAATCAGAAATGGCATGAAAAGTATTAAAGCAGGTACGTTAACTTTCAAAGTGAAATTGACCTAGCTTTTCATTTTTAAAAAATATAAATTTCTTTATCCACATACTAATGTGCAATTAGTGTTAAGTATAGGTAATGATTTTCATGAAGGCTGGCTGTGGTATTTGATAAGCATGTATTTTAGAACCCAGTTGGAGCTTCTTGTTTTGTACAAACATAACTAACTGGAGTGGGGAGAGCAAATCCATTCATAAATATGTTGAAAATTAATACTGATTTATTACATTCATTAAGTCAGTATTAGCTCACACTGAATACTGAATATAAAGGTAGATCTTCTCCAGGATAATCTGTCCCTAGACTGGTCCTTTACACCATTACTTTTCTAGGAAATTAATGTAGAAAGTTTTTTTTAAAAAAAACAAAAATAGAACAAGATTTGTGTATCTGTTGGATTAAATTTATGAACTTCCAAAGGTATTGGCTAATAGATACTAGATTGAATGGATATTTAGGGTGCTTCCACATCATTGCTTATTATATGTTATGTTGGGTTTGACTTTGGCTTGACTGTTCTCACAATATTGATTGAGGAAATTGATATGTTCGTTGTCTGTGTTTCTTTTAATCTCTGGGAAACTACAAATTTTTGGTAATCGTTTTATTAGTGGGGAAACGTGCCTTACTCAGCCATGGGTTTAAGGCAAGACAGCCATTAATCTTCTTTGTATCATCCCAAAGTTCTACATCTTATTCCTAGACCTTTTCTCTAGCTGTATATTCTGTTTGGGACGTATCTTTTCCTTGTTCCAATTAAAGTTGTAGAAACATGCAACATTCTCATAACTATTGGGCAAAGTGACTGATTTCAAATTTGCCAACATGCTATTTCCTTTTGTGTGTAGCAAGGGTGTGGGAATTTGTATTGCTCCATGACTAATAAAAATGTTCTTTAAAGTCTCTTTTTGTTAGATGTAGGGGAAGCACTAATCAGCTTGTGGGACTCTCTTTGTGTTCTCAGTGTTTTAAGACTGAAAGATTTGAAGTTATTTGTGCTTAGTTTCAAACTGATTTATGAGGAATGACAATGTGGGTGCTGTGGAAATGCTCATACTGTAAGCCTGTAAGTTAAAATAATGCCTATAATGGTTTAGGTGGAATAAATGATGCATATCAATCTAATTTTATGTAATCTGCTTGTAAAAGAATGTGAGACTGTTGAGCAATTTTATTATGGTGGCATCCCACAAAGTGATATATCCTGATATGCTGGCATTGCAGCTCCTCAATTACCAATTAGTTTGTAGAGAATAACATCTGCATTATGGAAAAACAATTAAAAATCTTTCCAGATCCTAGTATGGAAACATGAATTTAAAGAGGAGAAGAATAGCACCCGAGGAAGGGGAATTGCTTAGGAGAATGATTTTAAAAAATCAACTAATAAATCTCCAATGCAGGAAATTCCAGTCAGTGACCTGCAGGTGCTCCCTATTCTAATTCCTACTATCTCTATCCCATGCAGCTTATTTATAGGTTGCCATACAACCCTAGGTTATGAACCTTATCCAAAATTAATCACCTACAAATTTTTCTTGATATCAGATGAAATGTAGATGTTTCTATTGTTTAAAAAAGTATATTGAATCAAAATCAATCCAGTAGTTTGTTTGAGAGGAGCTAATATATCATACTTTATTACAACAGATAGTTTGCAACTTACCCTATCTTACTCCTCATCTGTTCCTTCTGAATTTGACAGTGTTGTGGTGATAAACTAAGCTTGATGGATGGCAATAAATGTTTATGTATATGTTTCACCACAAATCTTACAAGCTCAGTAAACACATGTGATCATATTAATCAATATCTTTAGTACCATGTTTCCCCGAAAATAAGACAGGGTCCTATTTTCTTTTGACCCCCGAAATATGGCCTTGGTCTTATCTTCTTATCTCTGAAGTGGGATAGGCATGGCCGGTTCTTGCCCGCAGCATTGCCAGTGAGGATTGGTTCACAAAAAACCCCCCGAAGTTCTTGTCGGCAAATCAGGTGCAAAGGAGAACTCACCACAGGGAGCGAGAAGAGCCAAGTGACAGCTTCCCAGCGGGTCTTAATGAAACCCTGCAAGAAAGGTGGCCACACCCAGAGGACTTGAAACAAGGAGCGACCGGACCCCTCCTCTACTTTGGAACACTTAGGGTGTCAGGGCAGCTTCTCTCCTCCACCCCTGGGATGCTGCTGGGGCTCCTCTCAGTCTGGCTGCTGAGCTGTTAGATCAGCTTGTGCCACAGCTATTTCGACGGCCCGCTTTATCTAGAGATGTCCAACGGGATGTTGCATCATTATTTCGTGCCCGCCAACTTGAAATCACTGGGGGAACTGGAAAACAAGGTTTGGCAGGGAATGCTGGTGCATCCACGGGCCCTCCTCAAGAAGACGCTGACCATCTTGGCCGGCCTGCGAGACAAGTACAAGCTGCTTGCGCTCACCATCTAGAGCCACGGCACCCGCCTCAGCCACCTCAAGATAGAGTATCTCAAGGACTGAGCGGGAGCGGGTGCCTCACTGGGCTCCGAGGGACCGTCTTTTTTCCGCTCCCCCACTCAGTGGCCGGCCATGCTGGTGGGACACTTGCCGGCCACGCTTCCTCATGGACAGACAGACTTTCCTCCATCGCATGCCGACCAGGCATGGCAGGAGCTGGAAGTCAGGCAAGACACGCATCTCGTTTCTCCGCCGTGTTTTACCTGACTTCCAGCTCCTGCCATGCCCGGCAAGGGAGGGGGAAGAAGAGATGGCACGGGGAGCCCCATCTCGCTCCATGCATCTCACTTCTCCGCTGCCTCCCCTCCCACCTGCCATTCCCTCTCACCGGCTGAGATCGGCAAGCCAGATTCGGGGAGCTGAACGTGCTGCCATCGCCCGGGAGGAGAAGAACGTCAGAAATGGGCGCTCTCGCAGCAGCACCTCCTCTCTCTCTTCTTCTCCCGAGTGGTAGTGGTGCGTCTGGCTCACCGAATCTGGCCTGCTGATCTCGGGCGGCAGCGGCTTTGATATTCCCCTTTCCTTTCCTCCCTGCACATGTGTCTAAGTATTGGGGAGGCTTATTTTCAGGGAAGGGCTTATTTTAGCGGATGCGCTCAAAAGCCCAATTGGGCTTATTATCGGGACATGTCTTAGTTTCGGGGAAACATGGTATCTTTTCTAAATTCTTTTAAAATATTTTTAGAATGCTAATATATGAGTTTCCCATTAACTGAGTTCTAGAAATCTGAACACTGCACTTAGCAAAACAAAAAACAAAAACCAGAAATTACATCAGATACCAAGAGCCATATTCAAAAGAAAGTGCCTAAGAAAATCAGTTCTCTGTAAGTTTGACTGTGTTTGTGTATTTGCTTTCTGATCCATAAATCAAAACTTCTGCAACAGGGAGAAGTTGGTTTTTCAAACTAAACTTTCTTTAACGTTCTTACTAAATATTCTTTCTTTAATTTTCACCTATTTAAAAAATACACTTTTGGATTAGAGCTGCTCTCTAATGTGAGGTACAGAGTTAGACTGGGATTTTGTGTTCAAAATAGTATTTGGATAACTTTTTTTATCATGTTATTATTGCGCAATGTTTTTTCTACATCTTGATTTAAATTTAGTAAACTTGACTTGCTGTATTTTTGAGCTATGAGATAGCCAGCTCACTTGGTAAGGAAACCAGCTGAAGGGACAGCATTCACATCCATAAATCAGCAGACTCTGATTAGCATCCGTCACAATGTCATGCTGCATTTATGTAAAAACACAAGTAAGCTCAGTATATTGAGAATCTGGCTGCCAAAAAATTGTTCTGTAGGTCATTTAAACTTGCTATGGGATGTTTATTCATTAATTCCCAAAATAGTCCAGCTCCTAACAGAACTTTAATTATTCTTCTCCTCACCTTTATTTTTGGCAGGAAGAAATTCTTCAGTTAGACTACGAGACTGTGATGTTGAGATGCACGGAGACATTTGATGATGATTTGTAACTGAACATGTTTGCATTAAGTGCAGAAATTTAGCTGCTGTTTAACATTTTCCCACTTTCCTTAAAAAAGGAAAAAGAAGCATTACCACGGGAGTTGTTACTACAATTTTTCATCATACATCATGTTACAAACAGTTCTGTTTATGTTGGCTTTGCAGTTTCTCAGCAGTTATTTTACGTGTATCAAAGTTTAATATTCATAAAGTTCTTTTTTAAATATATGTCTTCAGTGTTGCCAAGTGTCAAGTCACAGTCTTCTCACATCTTATAGTTAAAGTTAAAAACTAAGGGCAAACTACTTGTGATACCAATTGTTTCATTAATGAAAACAGCTTTCTCTCAAGCTGGTGCCTTTAGATATGTTAGAACACATTCCCAGAATTTCCGGCAAGCAAGGCCCCAGATTACTGAAAGTCCCTTTAAAATTTAGATGCTTTCTGTACTTGTGCCATCATCTCAAGGAAAAATCACAATAAAACCAGTGTAGTATAATGGTTAAAATACTGGAATAGGGCCAGGATAATGCAGTACCCTTATCAACTGCTGTTCCATGCAACAGTTAAAGCACCTGGTCAAATTGTATCTTTCAGTTAATCACTAGGTGGAGAATACAGATACAATCTGCACAAAACTGAAGCTAAATCAAAACTGAAGCTAAATGAAGAAGCTTCTTGCATGAGAAGCAAAACATTTTCAAAGAAAAGAAAAGAAAATTCTTTCGGAAAAAGCACCCTTGGGACAACCATGACCCAAATGATTGAGAATCTCCATAGACAAAAAAATTAAAACACATCTTTCTGAACATTTGAAAACATAATGCAAATAGGCTTCAAGACCCTGGGAAAGAGAGTGGTGATTTGAAAAATATTATAAATGCTAAATTTCTGTACATTCTTCCTTTATCAAGAAAAAGGCAAAAACACCACTAACCCATCTCCACCCTAACAAACTTAAAATATAAATTGGGTACTAAAGTCAGTGTACTCCGTTGCTAAATTTTCTGTAACCTAATTCCTTTTTTTCAATGAATCTAACTATGCCTGCCTATGAAAACCTTGCTTTTTGGTTATAAACTAAGAGACAATCACCAATCACTTTTTATGTGCAACTATTTGCACTTAATAGAGAAGGTATCCACATCAGAGCTTCCCTTGTACAGCAATGATCTGCATGGAAGAGTTACTGTAAGGAAAACTCATCTCCCAAACCCTTGTCCAAAGTATGAACTTCAGTAAGCCTGAAAAGTTTTGCAACAAACGTTGAACTGTCTGGTTACACAATCACACAAGATGCATTTGGAAAAAAGGGAGTGAAGCATGTGAAGAAATGGACACCTTGCTAACCATGAAGCACAGAGGTCTCTTATATTTTCAGGTTAGATGGCAATCAGTGGCACATGCAATATTGTGCAGGTGGAATGAAGAATGGTTTCAACTATATATAAACATCTAGAAGTTAATGTCAGAAAAGAAACTGAAACGGGACCACCTATCTTGGCAAGGCAATCTAAACTACCTCCAAATTAATTATGAAGCATGTACAGGAAAGAAAGCTAAACATTCTGGTATGGCTTTCACAGTCTTCAGAATTAAATATCGACAATGAGGGACCTGAGAATATTTGTGAACTAGAGGAGTTATGCAAGAAAGAATGAGGAAAATTTCCAAAAGCAGGAATGGAAAGATTCTTAACTGGTTAGAGCAGGGCTGTCAAACTCCCGGCCCGCGGGCCAGATGCGTCACACACTGGCCACAGCCATGGCCGGTTTAGGGGGGGGGGAGTCCCAATATCTGACGCCACCATGACGACTTGAGTTTGACACCCCTTGGTTAGAGGAAATGTTGGGAGGCTATTTATGCAAAATGTGGAATTAAAAAAGTACTAACTGAAAAAAGTATTCAAAATTATCCCATATTCAGTTTCCTTACTTTGAGTCTATAAACAGCTACACATATTTACTAAGTATGTATGTATGTATGTAGAAGAAAATATTTGTAGCTCAGAGTTGAACTGGGGCACCCTTGATACCTTCGTAGTTTTCTTGCAGGCTATTCATTACCAAATTAGGTAACATACCTCATGCAATGGTCATGTTATCTAGTGAGGATGTTACCTAGTTTAGTAGTGAAATGTCTGCAAGAAAACTACCAAGATGTTGTGTTTAACTTCGTAGCACGTAAAGGCTGTGTCAACTTCCATTCATGTGGAGATTCACCAAAAACCACTATTTAGCTAGAGGGTGCCTAAATCTTTTCTTGCACTTGTAAGGAAGTTCCCTGGAGAACTTTATGCTAGTTGTCAACTCTCTGGATTCTTATGGGGCAAAATTGGAGACAGGAATGCATGTGTAGCATCCTAAGCTTCTGGAAAAAGTTGGGATGTAAATCTAACAGGTAAATAGTAAGTAATACAACTGTATTCTGGATAAAGAATATGGCAATTTATTAAACTTTTTTCAGATGTCAAGGATGGACATTTCTAGAATAGGTCCAAAATACAGTAGTCTGGTAATTCGTTGTCTCTATAGTACTTTTTTATAGCTTCTGTAAATAAACTGGAGAAGGGTATCTATTACTTGCAATCATGCAGTAGTGTTATGCTGCAAGGAAAGAAAGCAATTAAGGGCAGCTATTAACAATCTTCCCTTATTCAGCAGAGTTATCATTATATGGATATTTTTAGAAGTGAGACAGTACCATCTGAAACTGTTATGCGTAAATGATAATTTATTCAGTTATTAATGATATTCAATCCTAACAAACATATCACCAGTGTATTTGTTTCTGTTCTATTCTTCCAAATTATGATATACTCAAGACAGTTTACAAAGCTGCCACAATACTGAAAAATGATTAAACCTATTACTTAGCCCTAGATATAAAAAGGGGGGTTACAATCTCACATATGCTGAATGCCATATAAAATACAGCTTCTGATAGCTTTTCTGAACTAGTTTCTGAATTTCCCATCTGCATGAGATCCTTTCCATGTTTCTTCTTCATTTGGAGCATGCTAATCAATTATAGAAAACGGAAGGTAAGTGAAAGCCAGTTTCTCTGGAGAGATTAGTGGAGACACTAATTTACCAGATACTTTGGAATACAGTTTTGTCATATTAAAAATTAAGACTGGTCACACCTGCTCATTGACCCAGGAAATCTGCCAGAGTGACTCCATTACAAATTGATACTAAACTAGCCAGAACTAGCCAAATTTCCTGCTACTGAAATCATTTGTCTTGTTTCTCTATACAGAATAATTATTTCAACCATTGAACCATTAGTTCAACCAAAGAATTACTTCAAGATTTGAAATGTTAGGCTCAGCTGCCAATTGCTTGCCAGCCTGCAGATCAGCAAGTCCTTTTGCTTTTAGTTAGAGCCTTCTTGCCAAATTTAAGTTAGTGATGATGCTACAAGTACAGAAGGTGGCATTCATTTTAAGCACGTTCTGGATTAGACTAGATCAGATCAGATCAGATCAGATTAGATTAGATCTGGATCCACCACAAGAATGACACAAATGTTCTTTTGCAATAACCCCATGCAGCTCTAAGCTCTGGATTCAAAAGATTCATGGGATTCTATTAAAGTGAACTAATGGGATTTTAGGCTTCATTCCAATGTTGTTAATCATGAAAGGGACACAACAACTGTTGTGCATGTGTCTAGCTACTTTGATTTATTCCAAATATCTATGCAAACTATTTAGATATATATGCGAGAGCTATGATGAGAAGCAGTGTTTGAAGGCTTCCATTCATATTTACTAATAACCATGTAGAGAGAGAAGGATGCAATTGCTAGGTTGAGAAGTAGTGTATGTAACTTATCCTTTTGCTTAATTCAGAGTAATGATACTCAAAGTGTAAAACCAGTATTAAATCTGAAATGAACACTGAAGAGTGCACATACAGGTCTGAAAAAAAGGAAATACAACATAGAAATAGAAATAGAATATTTTATTTGGCCACATGTGATTAGACACATTTAACCATATAACAGGAAACTGAAATGGGCAGAAAGGACCTGATTTGGCCCTTCTATAATGCCCTATGATTAATCAGATGAAAATCCCTTTTTTCAGAATTTTAGAAAATATTGATTTGCAATGCAAACCCTAAATGTGATATGATGCAAACAAACGAACAAGTCATCAGTGCAAATCCTCCCGAAATCAGAACATAGGAAATAACTGTCAGCATGAAATAGGGCTTATTAGTAAACCAAAATGGCCTACCCCCAAGGGAATGATCAAAAGCATTTCCTCATGCATATCATATTACTAATATTTTTCTTTCGGTACAGTTTAAAATAAGGCACAACATTATACAAACATATATTTATCTGGGTAAAGTACAGATAGCCCTCAACTTATGATTGGTCACTTAGCAAATGTTTGACGTTACAAGGGACACCCCCCCCCAAAAAAAGGTACATATGACCCAGATTCAAAATTCTGATGGCCACCCCACCTCCACCCCCCACAATCACATGGATTCATTTTGGGTGCTTGGCAATCAGCCCTGATTTATGGCCATATGCAGCATCATGTGACAATTTACATTTTTACTATCTTCCAGAGCTTTTATAAACTTAACCATTCTGATGATTAAAAAAATAGGGGGACACCAAAAGTACAAAGCATGCAAACTTAGGGTTTGATCAATTGTATCCAATCAGTTCAGCTGAGATAAAGTTTGAGGCTGTATTTATTGAAACCTTAGCCTGATGCTTTAGGAATAGAACAGGAACAGGAACAGGAATTGAATTGAATTGAATTGAATTCTTTATTGGCCAAGTGTGATTGGACACACGAGGAATTAGTCTTTGGTACATATGCTGTCAGTGTACATAGAAGGAGAAAAAAGAAAAAATACATTCATCAAGAATCATAAGATGCAACACTTAGTGATAGTCATAGGTTACTAATAAGCAATTAAATCATACTAGGAAACAGAACAACATAAATCGTAAAAATACAAGCAATCATAAGTGGGAGGAGAGAGGTAATAGGAAGGATGAGAAGAAGAATAGTAATACAGTCTTAATAAATAGTTTGACAGTGGTGTGGGAATTAGTTGTTTAGCAGAGTGATGGCATTCAGGAAAAAACTGTCCTTTTGTCTAGTTGTTCTGGTGTGCAGAGTCCTCTCTGTGGACATGTGCATCAGCCAACTGCTCTCTTCTGGGATGCGGCGTGTACATGTGCACGCCGCATGAAGACCAGCTGTCTGGTGTGCATGTGCACGCCAGAACCCAGAAGAGAGCAGCTGGCCGGTGCCCATGTGCGCCAGACCAGCTGTCACGCCATGCACGTGATGGAACCCGGAAAAACAGCTGGCCACCGTGTGCATGTGCACCGGCCAGCTGCTCTCTTTTGGGTTCCGGAGCTCCAGCGCTCCGGTGCACATGCTCTAGTTTTGGCACTCAGTGCTGAAAAGTTTAGCCATCACTGGGGTAGAAGTTGAAACAATTAATGTCCAGGATGTAAGGAGTCTGTAGGTATTTTCTCAGCCCTCTTTTTGACTCGTGCAGTATACAGGTCCTCAATGGAAGGCAGGTTGGTAGCAATTGTTTTTTCTGCAGTTCTAATTATCCTCTGAAGTCTGTGCCTGTCTTGTTGGGTTGCAGAACCAAACCAGACAGTTATAGAGGTGCAGATGACAGACTCAATAATTCCTCTGTAGAACTGAATCAGCGGCTCTTTGGGCAGTTTGAGCTTTCTGAGTTGGCGCAGAAAGAACATTCTTTGTTGTGCTTCTTTGATGATGTTTTTGATGTTAGGTGTCCATTTAAAGTCTTGAGATATGATAGAACCTAGAAACGTGAAGATCTCTACTGTTGATACTGTGTTGTCTAGTATTGTAAGAGGTGGAGAATAGGAGGGTTTCTCTTAAAATCTATCACCATTTCTATGGTTTTCAGTGTGTTTATTTCAAGATTGTTCCGGTTGCACAAGGCTAGTTGAGTCATCTTCCCAAGATTTTCTGGGCAACACTTTTCCATCATGGAAAAAAAAATTCTTTCTCATGACCCACACCTGTACTTTCCACTCCTTAACTAAATGATTTTCTTCTTTTTTTAACTTCTATTGTTAAAGTAAATGATTTTCTGAAATGATTCTATAAAGAAATTGACATTCAGGATTCTGAATGGGCAGTCGGAGGCAGAGGGTAGATGGGAGAGAAAATAATGGAACTGTTTTTTGGACATTAGTCTTGAGCCACACACAACTCAAGGGCTACGAAACCCACAAAAAGGAAGATGATTTTTCAGAAGCTTAGGGAACCGGGGTTTCCCCCCCCCCCCCTTTCTGCTGCAGATTTAAACCTTTGTGTTAATATCATTATCAGAGTTCCTTTCAAAATCAACTTTGTTACTCTTCTGTTCCTTTGCACCTTGGGTAGCCAGCGGCTTAGGGCACACTGGAAGATATTTAAACCAGTTAGCAACACAGAATTTGGAACCTATTCCAAATGGAAGATCATAGATGTGCAGGTTATTCACAGCGCCATCAGACTCTTCATTATAATCTTTTCTCCAAGCGAGGAGTCCTCGTTCTTCTTGGCTTCCTGCAAAACAGAAGTAACATGGTGAATAGCAAGGCCCCTCAACCAAGTTATATTATGGTTAGGAAAGTATTTGCTGTTACTGGTAAATACCAGTACTAGTATCAGAAATATTAGTATCAGAATGTGTGATTTTGGAAAAGCCCACACAAAAGGTCAGGGAAAGTAGACAGAAAATTTGACCATCTACCCACCCCAATTCTGTAGCAGAAGGAATTTTCCTTGTACTCTTTCTCCTCAGTACAATAGTTTCTGCTCCCAACTATTCAGATAATTTAGGATACACGCAGTATTGCTTTGAGGAAAGTAATAATTTGCACCACTTTTCTCCAACATGATAGATTATCTGGCACTCCTTCAACTAGCTGACCACATGTTACCACAATTAGGAAGGGAGCTTCTATGCAAAAGCATCTGATTAGGAGGCTTCTAGTATTGGGGGGGGGAGGACGACAGCGTGCAACATCTAACAGCTGCAAGCCTACCTGTCCTTCAGGATGAGAAGATTACAATAAATATTTCCCATAATGTACTTGATCAGTGATAACAAGATTATAAGTGACAGAAATATGTTTCTCACATTTTTTCTTTCCAAAATATGTAACATGAGACATGCACAAATCCACAAGACCAGTTCTAAATAGAAATATCTGTGATCCCACTCAACAATGCAACACTCCTGCTTTCCTCAGGTGACAACACCAAGAACACTAAGTGGTTTTACCAAGTGGGTAAGGCCAAATCACAGGATTCTTTCCTAAGGAATTGGAATGTATATTCCTGTAGGCGCTGACTCTGTGCTCAGGGTGTATGCATGAATGTAATTATTTTTTTTATTTTATTTTATTTAAATTTGTATACCGCCCTTCTCCTAGTGGACTTATATCATTTACATTGCACCAAGTTCTGACACGGCTGGGTAGCATCTCAGTCTTATCTTCAGGGGCAGCAATTAGAAAAGTATAAATGGTTTTCTATTTTTATGTCAGATAGTACTGAACTGCTTGTGGAAAATGTTTTGTACTGTTCCTGATAATGGGATCTAGCCAGTTCCAAAACTAAGCATTTTACACAAAACAAAAATTAAATTCTGCATAATTTCTCTGACTTTACTTACAATTAAATAAAATTTTAATTAAGCTCTGTTGTGTTTTAAAGCAAGTGGCCATATAAATCTCTCAAATAAAATAACTAAATTAATATTTGGTGGGGTGATTGTTGCTTACTTTTTTATTACTTCTCCCATTTAAACATCATAATCTCTTGGCAACTTTTACAAGTGGCGTATCATTGAGGGGGACCACTAGGTAGCCCTGGAGTAAGAAATTTTGTATCCATAGACAAATTCTCAAAATGCAAGTGTAGCCTTTACTCTTACTGCTGCACTACAACCATAGATGCTATCATAAATTCAATGAAGATGAACCATGATCAATAATTACCTGGAATAGTGTTATCAAGAAAAAAGCCCAGGAATCCGCCAACAAACATGCCAGTAGTTAGCAGTACCTGGATCACTTGGTCTAGCTGTACAGTTCCTAGAAAGAGAATCCATTGCGTATCAGAGCAAATCACAACCTCCTAATCCTTTCCTAATCCTTGGGAAGTAAGGCGAGTCATTTGAAATGTTCTTTTTTCTTTCAATAATCAGGCCATGGCATTTACTTTACACTAAAAATATTTGTAGTCCATGTGGAATGCTCATTTTGTTTCTGTCTTCTACACAGAAACCCTGGTATGAGTACTTCCCAAATTACTGCATAAATGTACCCCTGTGATAAACAAACAAGGAATATAAGAGTGTAGGATTCAGTTTTGCAATTTCACCTCAATAGATCGTTGACTTCAGCATCGTGACTGGGACGCTTTCTGAAGGACTCAATTTTCAATACTCCAATTCCTTAATTAGCTCTCATCCAGCAACTGGTAATTTGATTGCTATGCTTCAACCAGTTGCTGATTCAGTCCTTCAATGCATCCTTTTTATGTTAATGATCTACTAGATTTATCTAACAGGAAATCATCCAAGTCTGAGCAATGCTTTAGAATGCTGTATTGTACAAGATATGTGCAACAATCTAATTATAGTACTCAGTAAATTACCCAAAATGTTGTCACGAAGGTTCAATTGTAGCTGTAGTTTTGCAACTTGAATTCACTGAAGCCAAATTTCAGATCTGATACATACTGGCAGTTCAAATATATAGAGTGTATATATTTCCCAAAGAAAGTTGAATAATATCATACAGTAGAATAAATAAATAAAGGATGTATAAATCAGAGCTGGAAAACCTTAAACTATGTTAGATGCTGATAGTATCACTTAATATTCCGCATATTTAGCTAGACTAGCTGGGATTTACAATATTAGTAATAGCCTCCTCACTTCTGAACTAAATCATAGCATTTGCAGTCATATTCTACTCATTATATAAGCCACATTAAACAATATTTTTGCATATCCAAAATATCTTTTAGAATAAATAGACAAGCATAGTAGAGTAAGAAACCTACAGTGTAGAAGACTAATATATGATAATACCTCCCCATTTTTGTTGTACTTCTAATTATTGCTCTGACTTAAACCTTACTTTAGATGAAAGGCGACAATAAAAGCTGTAATCCTATGTACCTGTTTTTAGTTTTTCTGCATTATTCTCCACCCAGTGTGGAATGGTCAAGCCAGCAAATATAGAAAAGCCAAAGATGAATATGTTTCTTGAAGAATTCATGTCTGTGTACTGACCAAGAGATATAATTGAAAGAAAAGATATTAACTTACGCCAATGATTTTACATGTAAACAGAACAGCATTATTATATCATACTAGGTACTCTGAGCCTTACCTAGCCAAACTTTGATTCTCCCAGTATTACTCAGGGTTAGCATTGATTGATACTAAGAAGGGGAACCTGCTGGAAATTCCCAGGTTGTTGACTAGATTGAGAAGTTATGAAAAGTCTCCTTGAAAAAGATACAGGTAGTCCTCGATTTACAACCTCAATTGAGACCAAAATTGCTAAGTAAGATGGTTGTTAAATGAGTTTTGCACATTTTCCGATCTGTCTTGCCACAGTTGTTAAGTGATTCACAGCAGTTGTTAAGTTAGTAATACGGTTGTTAAGTAAATCTGGCTTCCCCATTGACTTTGCTTATCAGAAGGTCACAAAAGGTGATCATATGACCCCAAGGACACTGCAATCATCATAAATACTTGTCAGTTGCCAAGCATCTGAATTTTGGTCATGTGACCATGGGGATGCTGCAACAGTCATGAGTGTGACACAAAGTCATAAATCTCCTTTTTCACTGCTGTTGTAACTTCAAATAGTTACTAAAAGAATGGTGTTAAGTTGAGGACTCTCTGTAGTAGCAAATCAGTTCCATAATGCTGCCAAGAAAAAAATGCATGAATGCTGTTTCCTGGAGTCTAATTCAATTCAAGGACACTTTTGCTTAACTTTACATACTCAGAGTGCAACAGGACAAGTTCCTGAGCCCAAGAACATAGATTTTAAATCTAACACTGGGGAAGAAAGAGCCAGGAGAGACAGAAGTAAAGAAGAGAAGCAACATAGGCTTTAGTAAAGCCTATATTGTAAATGAAGCATATATTGTAAATATTCTCTTCTACTAGTAAAGCATACTTATAGTAAAGCATATGACAGGACATAAGAATTTGGAAGCTAAAGTAAAGGCTTCATAGGAAAGACTGAAAAAGAGAGGTAGTTGATAGTCCCACAATAGAATAGGAAAAGAGAAGGGTTGGGGGGGGGGTGTTAGGAGAGAAGACCTTCAGACAGGAAGGATGGTAGGAGTGAATAGTTGTGGAGAAGAACTGATTCTAATGACACTTTCTAAAACAACTAAAGGAATAAAATACCCAATGCAAAAAAATGGATGTCAATACATGTAAATGAATCAGATTGTTACAATAATATTACAATAATAATATTACAATATTACAATAAACACTTTTTTTCTAGATCCAATTCCATTCAAGGTTTGCTTCCAGGTCAGTTCAAAGTGTTGGTTATTATTTTTAAAGTCCTATATGACATAGGGCCAGGTTACCTAAGGAATCATCCCATCCCCATCACCTCAGCCCATCTCACCTGGTCAGGTGGAAAGGTATTTTATAGATCCATCAGTTAAAGAATTTTGACTGGTGGGGTCCAGGAAGAGGACATTCTCTGCCATTGTCCTTGTCCTATGGAATATCTTTCCTCCAGAGGTGAAGCAGCCCCGGCCCCCAGCCTCTTGAAGAAGTCTGAAGCCCTGACTGCCAATTCGCTTGGGGCTCACTAAGCAGCATGCAACCTTGAGGGTCTTGAGGTTTGATGGCCATGTCCCCGCCTTTTAATTTCTAACTTATTTTATTATTGTTTTAGCTGCATCTTTTATTGATATATTGTATTTTTATATGGTCTTTATGTTTCCTAATTTCATACTGCTCAGAATCACTCTGAGCGAGAGTCTGGTATCTAAATTCAACAAATAAATTGGACTAAATTCTTATATGTGGGTAGATTCTCAATACAAGATTCCTACAAGTCAATACAACTAGAATTAGCATGGCCTTATAAAGGCACATAAAACATAACAAAAAGAATCAATTGAACGTATTAACAAACTGAAAATTGGTGGTGATCATCCTTTTAATTTGGCACATGGAAATACCAAATGATATTAAGCACATCTCAATTTGGAAATCATCGTACAAGAAATTTGCCCATGGCTCTGGCTTATCCATGCAAAATTATCCTAGTGTTGTGGTCCGGCAGCAGTCTGCGGAGCTGGCAGCAGAGTCGGACAGTGAGGAGGCAGGGGAGGACAATGGGCCAGTCCTGGAGTCAGGGGAAGGCCTGGACGAGGGCTCTGTATCGGAGGCAGAGATGGGGCCAGGGCCATCTGGGAGTGATGCGCGGACTCGAGCCTCCAGAGGTGGATAACAGAGAGGCAGAGGAACAGGAGGAGCCTGTTCCTAGTGCACGCGTGCAAAGAGCTGCCAGAAGGTAAGAGCAGCTAAAGCAAAAAGGACGATTTGGGAGTAAGGCCAGGAAATTATTGGTCCCTCCCAGAAGGCTTAAAAGAGCAGCAATGGCTCTTGGGATCTTTGTAGGAAAGCAACGTTGCTACATTTGTTTCTTGTCAGCATCTCTTGCTTCTAAACTTTTGCCAAGAAAAGTCTTTGGCAGAGTGCCAAAGAAGACAAAGGTTGGTGATAAAGCCGAAGAACTGTTTTTTTAAAAAAAGTTTTATTCTTTTATTAATACACATTATGATAAACACATAACATACAACATATAAATATATTCTCTTTTTAACAAGCGGTTCTTCATAAGCCGAAGAACTATTTATGAAGAATTTGTTTTGGACTTAATTTGGACTAAGCTGAGAATGAAGTAATTCTCAGCTGTTCTAATAAAATAAGTTTGTTTAGGACTGATTGTGTCTGGTAATAACTACTTGGGCCTACGTCACAACACCTAGAGAAAAATCCACCTACCTGTAAATTAGAAACCCCCACAGCTGTGATGATACCAAACATCACAAGAAACATTCCTCCGATGATGGGTGTTGGAATGCTGGCAAACACAGCCCCAATCTTGCCAAACATGCCAGTCAAAAGCAGAACAAGGCCCCCAGCTACAATGACCATTCTACTACCTACCTGTGGAGAGAGAGAGAGAAAGTAATTACAAGCAACAAAAAGAGGAGAAACCTGATCTGTGACAGTTGTCAACTTTGATAGGATTAGAAGTAAAATTTCAAAATTCTTTAGCTGAGTCAAATATCCTTTACCTGATAGTATGTCCATTTAACAATTATCAAGCTAAAGGTGTCCCCTTAAAATCATTTTAAATAGTTATTGTAAAACATACCAAATAATGCTATTTTTGTAAGAGAGCAATACAATACACTTCTAAAATATAATATAATGGATCATATTATGATACAGTTAGCATTAATATGTAAAGATATAATATAACTAGGAATACTGATATGTTATTGCAATTTATTAAAAAATGGAAAGTAAATCCTCTGAGTGCTAAGATCAATTTAAAGCTCCAACTTGCTCAGAGAATGTCTAAATCCCTTCACCTAGTGTTTGTTATTTTTAAAATCTGGAAGCTTATCAAACTCTGTGGTGTGCTTTGAATATAGGAGAGCAGAAGGGCATGTTTGTAATCGGTTGCTATTTTTAGAAGGCTGAAGAAGCACCCACTTTCGTCCTCAACTGTTGTGTGTCAGCCAGAATCACGCTTTTATGAAATAGGTGGCCACATAAATATGATGCGCATATTTTAGTTAAAACTATACCAAAACAGCGTTGTTGGTTTCTGAGTTTATAAAACTCAGGATTCCCTTTGCAGTGACCTTCCTTGCAGCGTGCAAAACCAGAAGAATATTAGGGAATTTAAATCATGGTCTCAGATCAGATACAAAAATGTCAATGCCTTATAACTGAAGCATATGCATCCTAAAAATGCCCCCAAGTTATCTCCAGAGCAGAAAATGCACAGGCTTTTCTTCAATTATTCCTGGTCACACATGGCCACTTTTGGTTTTGATCATTCAGAATCAGACTTACCCGAGTGATCCCCAAAGCTCCAACGTTTTCACTGTAAGAAGTGGTACCATTTCCTGTTCCCCAGGCTCCAGCCAGAAGGCAGCCAATCCCTTCTACTCCAATTCCACGATTGATTGCGTGCTTGGGAGGGGGTGGAGCACCAGACAAACGAGCACAGGCATAGTAATCTCCCACTGACTCCACCATGGAGGAGATCACTCCAGCTATGATGCCAAATACACCAGCCAAACTAATTGTGGGCACTCCCCACTGGCCTAAATAGAAGAAACAAGCATGCTAAAATTGAAGATCTGAAACTGGTAAATTTACCTGCAAAATTTTGATTTACAAAATTCAGAAAAGCTAAAAGCATGTACTGTTAACAACTCCTTGTAAATGTCTTGTAAAATCTTATATCAATATTGTACCCTAGTCTCATGTATGTTCATGCATTTAAATAAAAAGATAAGAGATTGTTCCAACAGTTTATCTAAATACTTTTTGGAAAAACTCTATACATCATCACAATCATATTTTTGAACGCCCAAAGCAAAGGCAGATCCAGAAAGATATTAGAAAAGTGGTGGAGTCCCTTTGTTTTTTATTTGCTTCTGCACTGGGATTTTTCATTGTTCAGGTTGCTTACTTAGAGTAAGTAGTACTGATCAAAAATTACTCCCAAGGAATTCAGACTTTTAAAAAGGCCAAACAGCTTGGACATAAGTGATGAAGAAATTGGATAAAATGGGGAGCTCCAGATCTAATGGGCCACAATATAAACACATTTTTGCATAGAAGAAACTGAGAATTTCTTCCATTTTTTTTTTTGCTATGCTAAACAGGAAAGAGCATCAGCATAGGAATACCTGGGTAAGGAAATCGAAACCAGGGTGCCTTGCTTATGACATCACCTTTGCTGTCAGTCCGAGCTAAATAACCATAAGTTCTTGTATCTGAAGGGAGAACGTTGGTGATGGTCAGTACAAAACATAATAGCCACGTAATTGTGAGAGCAAACAGCACCTATGTAGTTACAAATGACAAGGAATCTTTGTTAGTACAAAACATAATAGCCACATAATTGTGAGAGGTAATAAAGGAATCTATCTGTTAGCAGGTAATTTAGACTTCAAAGCAGGAAGTTCAGTGGAAAGTACATAAAGGCACATATTATACTTCAGAGGTACATTAAAATATGTAATTATCACACATAATTCTTCTCATTTATTCCTTTAAGTTATGTCAAATTTACAGTAGAGCCATTGAAATTGTCCCAAAAATGCTTCTTCAAGAGGCAACTGGACTTTCTGCTTTTTCTTTGAAGACGTTTCGCTTCTCATCCAAGAAGCTTCTTTAGCTCTGAGATGTACTTGATTAGTCAAATATCATTAGAGTTTACTCACTGGAAAGATCTGGAAGAGGTAGATCTTGGAGAAATGGCATTTTTTGCTTTTTTTGTAAGATGGTAGTGGAACAGGCACATTTTTCAGATACTGAGAGAATAAAACTATGAAGAAAATCGTTCTAAAGAGAAAAGGGGTTTCCATTAATAACATTCTGATTCAGAAATCAATGTAATACCTTTACAATTAATAATTTCATTGCTGATGTTTGCAAATATTAACGTATCAAATACTTAGTTAAAAACAGAACATCCATTGTCTACATAACGGACTTTCTTTATTTAGTTCATCTTTCTCGTAATATGCACAATATGATGGAATATAGTCCAGAGCCACGGGGGGGGGCTCTTTCCCAGGGAGTAAAGAGACAACATAGCTTGGAATTATTAGTATGCAAGAAAAGGATGTAGTCATACCCACTCCTCCACATATCTAATAGTTATTGCAAATAAGTGCTTTAGATCGGCAAGATTCCTGTCTATAGGAGAGCAACAAAAAAGAAACTATTCTGAAGCAACTCCTCCTGTCAGTCTTGGTTCCTTGGTTCCATTGATTTTGCCAGATTAAAGCATTTATCCGTAATAACTATCTGCACTGGAGACAAATTCCTTGTGTGTTTAATCACACTTGCCCAAATAAAGTACTCTATATACCTGTGATGGCGAACCTATGGCACGCATGCTGGAAGTGGCACACAGAGCCATCTCTCCGGGCATGCGAGCCATCACTCATTGCTCTTCTAGGTTCTGGCGCACTGGCCAGCTGGTCTTCATGTGCACGGGAGCGCCGGAAACCAGAAGAGCAGCCACCCGGTGCACATGCACACGCCCAGTTTCCAGCATGCACATGTGCTCCGGCCACCTGGTCTTCCAGTTTCTTGTTCTCATGCATACGCAAAGACCAACTGGCTGGAGTGCATGCACATTCTGGAAACCGGAAGATCATCTTCCCGGCGTGCGCATGCACTCCAGGCAGCTGCTCTTCTGGTTTCCGGCACGCACATGCTCCCATTTTGGCACTCGGTGCTGAAAAGGTTCGCCAACACTGCTTTATACCCTGTGAACTGTTGGGGGGGGGAAGGGGTTTCACCTTCACCCTTTTCCTGTATATCAAAGATTCCAAGCTATTGCCTCCTTGCTCCCTGGGGAAAGAGCCCTTCCCTTCTTGTAATTCTGGACTGCATTCTACCTCACATTTATTTAGCACATTAGATGTATAAACATACAAAAGCTAAGAAGTTTCTTTTTTAATTAATCCGTAAAAGAAAAAGAAAAAAAGCATTATATTCTCAGTTTACATTACATCATTTTGGTCATTAAAGGAACACAAAACTTACATGGCTGCTATCCCCCAGTGTTCTCCAGCATCTTTTCCTGCAGAGCTAAAGAGAGGCAGCGCCACCAAAGCTATGGTTGGAGCAATAGTCAGAGGGCCAATGAACCGCATCAGGAATCCAATGAGACCCGAAAAGCCAACAAAAATTTGGAAGCAAGATGCTACCATAATTGCTCCCTGCAACTGAAACAACAAAGGCTGTAAATGATTTTTACTCCAATGGAAATCCTTGTATTTAAGTTGCAAGTGGTGATGTGTGATTGGCAGTGGTTGGCAGTTGATCAGGAGATAGTTAATGGAATTGGACGTCATCTTAGTAATCCTAGAAAACTTGCCATATGCTTTATATTTAGTAGGAAAACTAATTGATTGCTTTTATTAATTTGTCTTCTGAATGGTTAACAAATACTGGAAAGGAAATACCTTTTTGATAATGTTTCTGATTTGGAAGAAATTAAAGTTAAAGATAGGAAGCACAAAGTGGAAGCAGTGAGTTCCATTTTGTTCATGATCCATAAATATTTCTTGGGACCATGATAGATCCTCTTAAACTTAAGAGAAGGGCAACCATCATGTCACTTTTATTTGACAGGCTGCTGTTCTGGAGGACATTTAGCTACTATTCTCAACAGCATTTAGGAAACCTAAAAATTAATAACAGTTAACTCATCCTGAAAGAAAAGAAAATCATCTCTCCATGAAGTTGATCAAAAACTATTCGAAAGGCAAAGTGACATCACTCTCCTACTAACATGTCTTTTGAAGAAAGAGAAGTTACACAGTTTTGTCAGGTGTGCCACAAAAACAAAAAAAATCCACAAAATAATACATTTATACAAATACCCTCAGTGGATTACCTCTCTCATTCGAACCTGCCATAACTCAATGAAATTTGGGGAAGTAGGATCCACCATGCTGGCATTATTGGTCCAATCAGGGCACTTCCAGTAGGGCAAACTGAGCATGGCCAGTGAAGGAGTTAAAAATGCAAAGGTTCCTCCTTGTAGAATAGGTAGCCTGTAATGAGGAGAGAGATGGAAATGGAGCAATGCATACAAAGTACATCATCTACTTGTATACACACTAGATGGCACTGCAGTTTACTCACACAATTTAGTATGAGTCTGTTTTCCAAAGGCTTGCTAGAATAACCAGGTTTTGACAGTCTAGGAAGATCATAAGGAAATAGGTTACCCTTACCTCTGACAGCAAACTGTTCTGAGAAGGGCATTCCTGTATATAATTACTATTCTATTCCCCCCCTTCCATTAAACAACTCAATAGGAGTTCAATCAGCACTCTGCATGCAGTGGGTGGTTATAATCAATTTAGATTCAGAAAAGAGAGTTTTGAAGATACCAGGCCTCAAGCCATGTAAGGATTTACAGGCAATAACCAGGACCTTGAAATGTACTTGGAACCAGATAAGTTGCCAATGCAACCTCACATTATTGGTGTTATGAGACAAAACTGTCTGTCTTCCTTTATCAGTTTATTAGTTTATTGGTTTGTTACTTCATCTTACGCACCACTCCATTTCCTAAGATTCCGAGGGGTACCCATTTATGCCCCACCATTGCATTCTGTATCCACTGAAGTTTCCAAATGCTCTTCAAGGGCAGCTCCTTTCACAGCATGTTGCAGTAGTTCAAATGAGAAACTATGGAAGCACAAGTGATGTGAGCAGGGCTCCTCAGTGTAGGAATGGGTGCAATTGAAACACAACAAGAAGCTTTGCAAAAGTCCTCCTAGCCATGTGTGCCACTTGCTTTTTGAGCAGGAGCTCTGAAACCAATCTTGGACAACCTGTCCATTCCACCTCACCCTCTTCCTTTGTCCCAAGATGGTAGGTTGGAAACTGGATGGAAATTGTCCAAAATGGTCAGGTGCAGCAATGGCCTCTTGAGGAAGAATGTACCACTGGGCCCTTAAATTATGTCAACATCCAAAATACCCTGTTTCCCCAAAATAAGACATCCCCTGATAATAAGCCCAATCGAGCTTTTGAGCACATGGCAATAAGGCCAAGCGCTTATTTCAGGGTTCAAAAAAAATATAAGACAGGGTCTTATTTTCAGGGAAACACAGTAGCTTAGAGGATATTCTATACTTACAAGAACCTCTAGCACTAATTGCTGAAGTTAGGCCGACTTTGATGATTACCAAGTCAGAATGCTACAGGAATTGTCAAAATATCTGTGAAAATATGGGGAGGAACAGAAGAAGGATCAATAAAGATTTAAAGGTAGTAAGTAAAGGTAAAACTAAGCTATGCCAGCAAATCTGGAGAAAAACAAAGTGGCCAACGGATTTGAAGAGATCAGTCTATATGCCAACACACAAAAAAGGAACACTTAATAGAGTCTATGAACCATGATTACAATATCCTTAATTTCACATATTAGAAAATAATGCTTAGGCTCATCCAGGGCAAATTAGAGTTCCATGTGGAAAATGAGATGTCAGATGTTCAAGCTAGCTTTAGAAAAGAATGACAGAATCATAGGGTTGGAAGGGACTTTGGAAGGGACTTTGGAGGTCTTCTAGTCCAATACCCTGCCCATGGAAGGAGCCCTTTCCATCCAGGACAAATGGTTGTCCAATCTTTTCTTGAAAACCTCCAGCAATAGAACCCTCACAACTCCAGGAGGCAAGCTGTTCCACTGACTAATTGTTCTGTCAGGAAAATTCTCCTTAGCTCCAGGTTGAATCACCCTCTGACAAGTTTCCAAGCCATTGCTTCTTGTTCTGCCTTCAGGTGCTTTGGAGAATAAACCAAACCCCTCTTCCTTATGACAGCCTTTAAAGTATTGGAACACAGCTATTATGTAAGCCTTCTCTTTGTTAGGCTAAACATTCCTACCGGTAGTTCCCTTAGCCATTTATCATATGGTTTAGCCTCCAGACCCCTTATCATCCTTGTTGCTCTTCCCTGAAAAAAATGGATATCAGCATATTTTTTGTATCATGGTAACTAGAACTGGATGCAGTAATCCAAGTATAACCTTACTAGTGCAATATAGAAGGGTACTATCACTTTTCACAATCTTGATGCTATCCACCTGTTGATGCAGCCTAGGACTGCATTGGTTTTTTTGGCAGCTGCAGCACATGCTGGCTCATACTTAAGCGGTGGTCCATTTGGACATCTCTCTCTCACACACAGGTTCTACTGTTGAGCCAGGTACTGCCAATTCTATACCTGTATGTGTGGTTTTTCATGCCTAAGTGCAGGACCTTACTTTTCTCACCACTGAACTGCATTTTGTTGGATAGGGCCCAATATTTAAGTCTGTCAAGACCTTTCTGAATCTTGACTCTGTCTTCCAAAATGTTAGTAACTCTGCCCAACTTAGTGTCATCCACAAATTGCATGAGCACCCTTTCAATATCCTCATCTAGATCATTTATGAAGATATTGAAGAGTATTGGCCCAAGACAGAACCATAAGGTATCCTACTGCATGATACACTCCATATAGATGTAGTTCCATTGAGGACTGCATACTGATTATCATAGAGAAAATCTATCTGCAACTAGTCCTCACTAAATGATTGGTTGCTTAGTGACCATTTGACATCCCAACAGACCTCCAAAAAGGTACTTATGACCCAATTTTGTAGTTTTGATGATCTCATACACACACACCTGCAGTCATATACTGTATTTTTCGGAGTATATGACACACTTTTTTCCCTCCTAAAAGAGGCTGAAAATTTGGGTACATTTTATACTCCGAATGTAACCCCACCCACACACAGGCCCCCATCCTTTGGCCTCTACGCATCCTCTTCCTGGCTGCAGAGATTGCCACCGACAAGGGCTTGTGTTTTTGGGCTCCGTGCGTCGCATTTTCAGCCTCCAAACACTCCATCTGAGAGCTCTTTCAGCCCTTGGAGGCTGAAAATGGAACACAAAGTGCCCAAAATGGCTACCTAGAACAGCTGCTGCCTTCTCTTACCCCTTCTGCGCTTCACCTGCTTTAGTCACTGGAGCGCCCTCCGACAATCAGCTGTGCTTTTGAAGCTGTTTTTCAGCCCCAACGTGGCACTTGCGAGTGAAGTGATGTGCTTTGTCTCAGGGGTGAAATCTAAAAATTTTCGCTACCGGTTCTGTGGGCGTGGCTTGATTAGTGGGTGGGGCTTGTTGGTCAGGTGACTGGGTGGGCGTGGCTTGTTGGTGAGGTGGGCATGGCCAAGTCAACATCACTTCTTTGCCCTTTTTTAACCTACAAAACACAACACAACACAACTGGCTCACCCATAATGTAAAAGCAGAGGCAAAATGGCTCCTGCAACAAGCAGGAACGTCACACAGCCACAAAAAGTCCAGAAAAACCAACTTTCACACTTTACACACACAAAATTCCACATACAGTTTTGTGAGATTTTGTGTGTTTTAGTTAGAGTGAAACACTACAGAAATACACAAAATCTCACAAAGCTGCACAAATATTATTTTATTTTATTTTATTTTTATATAAAAGCAGCTAAATTTAAAACTTCCTAAACTTTAAATGGCAAGGTCTAAAAAAAGAACAACTAAAAAAAACCCCAATTAACTATTTTTTTTAAAGCTCCCAAAGGAGAAAAAAACTTACAGGCAGGCAGGCAGGCAGGCAGGCAGGCAGGCAGGCAGGCAGGCAGGCAGATAGAGCTGCTCACTGATGAGCTTGATTGCAGGCAGGGAGATTCAGTTGTTTGCTGATGCAATGGATTGCAGGGATTACAGCAAGCGAAGCAAGGCAGGCGTGCGAACATAAGCAAGCTGGAGGCTGGGGGGAAGGGATTTTTGCTATTGGTTCTCTGAACTGCCCGCCGCCATCGCTACCTACTCGCCCGAACCGGGAGGATTTCACCCCTGCTTTGCCTGCTTTTCTAATTGCTGCTCCCTCCAACGATCATCTGTGCTTTAGAAGCTGTTTTTTAGCCCCAACCAGCCCCAACCTCAAAACCAGAGAGCAAACTAATGTGCTGAAGCTGACCAGGCTAAGGATGCTAGCCAGATGAATACCTGGTAGGCAGATTTTTTTTTTCCTATTTTCCTCCCCAAAAACTAAGGTGCGTCTTGTACTCCGGTGTGTCTTATACTCCAAAAAATACGGGTAATTGCATTTTGGGTACTTAGCAATTCGCTTCCATTTACAGTCATTTGCAGTGTTCTGCAGTCACCAAGAAAAAAATGACCAAGATTTTTGTGATTTTTTTTACAGGTTTCCAGGATGTACTTCTGGTTTCTAGCAAAAAAATGGCCATTGTGTTTGATGGATTTAGTTAATACCGTGGTGTTTGCTTAATGAACAGTGCACGAAAGATTGTAAACTTGGGTGTGGTCACATGGTGGCTCATTTATTGACTGCCACAAACGTCTGGGTTCAACTACAGTTAATGCACCAACCTTCTCCTTTTAGTATTTTTTCCTGAAATAGTTGTTACTAAGGCTAAATGTTATATCACACAAACATTTACATAAAAAAACCTCAAGAAAATAAATAAATTTTAAGGATTTTTTTTCTTTAAATAGACTAACATGTGAAGAGTTTAACCATCCTCTTTCTTCTCTGAAGCACAAGATCTATTTCTTAGGGCAAGTTGGAAAAACATAGCCTTGTTAGACTTGGTTAAATAACAGGACTAAAGTACACTGTGTACTTTAGTGTACTTTAGAGTCAAGCTGAAATAAAACTTGTAAATTTGCTCCACAACACAAAAAGCTCATTTTTTCTTCCTTCCAAGAAGTCTTTTGATCTTAGTTCTCAAAGAATATTCTGCAGAAATAAGGACATCATTGGAATCTGAAGTATATTCAAGTAATCTCTGTTTTTTATGCCCCGGGAGACACATTGTGCTATCATACAGTGCAGAGGTGGGTTTCAGCAGGTTCTGAAAAGTTCTGGAGAACCGGTAGCGGAAATTTTGAATAGTTCAGAGAACCGGTAATAAAAATTCTGACTAGCCCTGCCCACATCTATTCTCTGCCTCCCAAGTCCAAGTTGAACGGGAGGAAATGGGGATTTT